TAGGCCCAGACCCCTATAAGTCTGCTATTGCTGGGGAGGGGTTGGGGAGGGGCTGGGAACCCTCCCCCAGGAGACACGCCCAAGCTGTAAGGGAAAGTTCAGCTGCTTGGGGAGGAGGGAACGGATGGCAGGGAAGATGGCTGGGGAAGGCCTACCTCCAAGGGCACAGGGCTTACCTCAGACTGAGACTGGGTCAGGGTAACAACCCCCTCTGCCTCCCTTCCAGCAAGCTGGCAAGCACCAAGGATCAAGCCCAAGCAGTCTACTACTGAACCATGGGTAAGAGCATGGAGAGGGGCCCCTTGTGTAGTGCAGGCAAAAGGTCTGCTGAAAACTGAGGGAGAAGCACCAGTATCATTCTAGTCCTTACTCTGAGCACTAGTTTACCACTGGAGGAATTTCAAGTCTGTGGTCTACTGAGTCACCATAAACACAAAAAAATGCAAACCTAGCGCAACTCCTGACTTGACTAACTCAACCCCCTGCACTAATGGCCTGACAGAAGATTAAATCCACTTCTAGGTAAAAATATGATTTACCTCAGTCTCTGCTTTCCTACCTATAATGTGTGCTATCCAATTAAAACTGGGTCACACAAAAAGGCAAGGGGAAAAAAAATCAAAAGACAAAGCAAACCACAGAATCAGATGGTCCAGGTGTTGGGACTAACCAATAACTGGAGAGAACTATGACTACCATGGCAAAGGCTCTGTTAGGCAAGGTGGACAGTATGCATTAATGGACTGCGACTTTCAGCAGAGAGGTAACTATGAGTCAATGAAGATGCTGGAAATACAATGCTTGGTAACAGAGATCCCTTCAACAGTCATCAGCAGACTCAGCACAGCTGGGTAAAGAATCAGTGAACTTCCAATTACTTGAACTAAAATGAAGAGAAAAAGTGATAGGGAAATATTTACTAGGACAGCAATCTAGTCCAGGTGGCTACCTTCTGCTGCTTCTCATTAGCAAAGACAGCAGAAGTTCCCGTTTTCTGTCTCCCCTTCACTCCCTGCTCTGCCAGGCACTCACTCCCTAAACTTCCTCCCCCTTGCTTGCTCATTTGCTGTGCACGTAATGTTGCAGATACGGGGGTAGAAAGATATATATTGCTCCCCTTGCCTTTGTTTGGGGCTCAGACTTTGGGAGATTACTCCCCTCTGAGCCCGCCAGTGTAAGATAAAACCTCAACACTCCAAGACCTCCGAGTGCCGCTTGGTTCTTCCATCAGCGATCCAGTCCAGGTTTTTCAATAACAAAAGAACAGGAAAGTATCTAGGAAGTCTTTAAACAAATCACCGAAATAATTTTATCCGCAGAATCTTACAAAATGTATACTTAGGGAGACAGATTTGGGACTGTAAGAGTGCAATGTCACAGGCAAAGAGAAAGAAATGAGGATGGTCTGAGGAATAAGTATGGATCCTTTGAGGTGCTAGCCTCAGATCCACTCATCTTGTAGAGAAATGAGTTTGGCGTTTCATTCCCTAATGCCAGTAACTATACAAACCTAAATCCCCCAGACCCCCACAATTCCACTGATGCACTGCCTCTCAGTGACATGTAGGCAGACCATATTGCTCTTGCTAAATTTTCTTTCACCCGCTACTTACAAGCATATAGGTACTTTAATCCTTTTCTGCTACTGGTGAGCTCTTACTTCAGGTCTTACTGCATTCTTACTTCCTGGATAGTGTTACATAATCTTATTTAGTTGAATCTAAAATGCCTTCACTTGCTGAGAGATGCAGTTATTTTATAACCTCTATTAATGAAAAATTCTGCCAATTTAACTGTAGCAATGTCATTTTATCACTTAGAATTTTGCTTTTTATTGCAAGTTTTTAGACTTGATCCACACAGATTTTAATTATATACCACTTTTTAAAAAGAGAGTAAGACAAATAATCTGGTTAAGGTGTTCTTAAAACTCATATTCAGAATCCATTGTTTCTAAATCACTTCTTGACTTTAAATTTCCAGCGTTTGTTTTTCCACACAGTATTGTCCTCTTGGCATCAAAAATACTGGTGACCTGGTAAAGAGTGCTCCTTTGCTGCCTCTGGATTTTTGCAAGATAGTCAGAACCTACATGAATTTTGGTTGGGATTGCGTATCATTTTGGGTAAGGAGTTCATGGTTTTACAGTATTGGGCCTTTTCTAGTTTCATGGCATGTCCCCATTTCTTCAGGTCCTCTATGCTTCATGTTAGGTGTAATCCTATTTTATAATCACTGTATTATTTTGTTATTGTAAATGGGGGTTTTAAAAAATTGGATTTAGTGTGCACAGAGGTATTGATTTTTGTATATTCTAGTCATTTAAGCTTTTTTGTTCATTCCAAGAGCCAGTCAATTGATTTGTTTGGGTTTTCTGTATTGATGGTCCAATTGGCTGGAAATGTTTCAGCTCTTCTATCCCAGTAGTACCTCATTTCTTAGCACTGGTAGTAGGCCTCATTATTTGGTTCTGATTTTAATGAATACTTTTAATCTTTCACCATTCAATGTCTCAGTAGCATTGTCCTTAGGTAACTTTAGGACATTTTCTTTTCCTAGAGGTTTTTCCTTGAAGTTTTCTCATGATTGGGGGCTGAGCTTTATCCTATGCAAATCTATCAAATTTATTAAGTAATTTAGAATGATTTAAGCATATATTAAGCATAATATAGCATATATTAAGTCAATCATGTTTTCTCCCTGCTTTTAATGTGTTGATTAGTTTATAGCACCAATAGAGTTTCCTCATTTTGTTTTCAGCATCTTTTAAAAATGAAATTCCAGATGTATGTTTACTAGTATTTCAGTTTTTGGCCTGGGCTTCAGGTGGTGTAGTTGCATTACCAGCCATTAACAAATCATTCTATTAAAACCTCATGAATATTCTGTGTAGTGTATAACCTTAATAAGCCAAGTCCATATTATTCGCATAAACATTTTTGGAAAAAGAGAGATGAGAGGTGGAACACATGGTATGAAGAGTAGTTCACATTATTTAGGACTCAGTGGACTTAGATTTGGCCTGTATTTGCCATTAAGTTGTTAGAGAATTTTAAACCAGACACACCTCCCTTGGTGCCAAATTGAAAATCTATAAAATGGGTCACTGGGAGAATCAAATGTTAAAGTGCTGGGAATAATGTCGACCACTTCATAAATGTAAGAAAGTATTAAATTACATATCAGGTATTTTAAATTTAAATGTAGTGATGAATGAAGATACAACATAAACACATTAAAATCTCCAAAGCCATGTAAAACCCGAAGGCATTAAAATTTATTAAATGATGCAATAACAACAGAATTCTTTATTTACAATAGCATTATTTAACATCAAATAAGCAAATAGCATCAGCAAAGCAATATTAACTTGCATAAATGTATTTAAAATTTCTCTGAATATATCTACCTTTGCATAAACTGCTCACACTAGAAATACAAACATCAATGCAGGTGAACAAAGTGATGTTCAGAGTCAACTCCATTTTGAAAATAAATCACAACCTGAAACACTGTAAGCTTTCTCCTGAAGAACCATAGTTAATATATTGCTTAATTTTACCCTTGTATAATCTTTTCATATACACACATCTCAGATGCAACTTCATGAGGAACTGTACAAATAAAACTCACAAATGACAAAGGAAAAAATATGACAGTTAAATGTTTGAAGAAATGTATCATCATCACTATTCAACAACGTAAAGGTTAAGTGATGATGCACTTATTCAAAAATTGTACACAATTCACTATACAAATATAATACATCGGACAGCTATGTAGGAATATACAAGACTTAAAAACAGATCTAAGGCATTATGCTAGATTTTAGCATTTTGAGGTTCTTGCACATAGCTTTTACCTGTAGTAAGAAACTTAAAAGATTTTGTTTTAGTCTATAAAGAAACACCAGGGAGAAAATTCTAATTAAAATTGAAGCCACTACAGTAATTTTCTGTTGTGCAGAGAATGCTTTGCTCTTCGGCAGCATACTACCATACAAATACTAGAAAATTTTAAATTCACACCAACAGTTAATGGCTTAAGTTGCATTTCAAAATTGATTGTGTATCTTTGGGTTCTGCAAGTGGATCTGTACCACCCATTTCATGTGTTAAGCCCATGTGAACTCCTTTTTTTTCAACACAGATTAAAAACTGTATTATATAAACTGCAAAAACATTGCTTTCAATTATTACAGGTCATAAGAGATACACGTGGGAGGGGAATTTTAATCTTTGAGTCAAATTCTTTGTAGTAAAACAGCTCACTTCACTTTTTAAACGTATCACATTACATGAACACTTAAATGAGTTTTACAACCAAGCTAATGTACGTATACTTTTCACATTATGTTTTTCACATTTAGTAATATAAGTAAAACACTGATTATTTGTTCTATTAAACAAAAACCAAGTACTCAGTCTAACAAATTTATTGTGTACAGCATGAGAAATACTGACAATGAAGGGGATTGATTTGGCTTTTGCTTCTATAGTGATCAATATGATCAGAGGATGCCTTCACTTTTCTTCTCTTAATTAGATGTAAAGCAAAATCCATTACTTGATCTGAGCCATAAGAGAATTTATAAATCTCTTTTCCTTCAAAACAGTAATGATCATGAATCATTTTAAATTACCAGGATCACAGACTTGCAGACTCGTCTGAACTGGAACTGACATTAAAACACAGTGGGCAGATGGGTAGTAATAAAAGATACACATGTATTTTTGGACAGTGTTATGTGGAAAGGGACTTAAAACTCAAAAGAAATCCAATTTAAACTCCATTTCTTTTTTGTGCTGTGTGAAGTTAAGATCATTCTAATTCACATATATCTAAAAACCAACTTAAAACTAGTCACCTTTAATTGTGTCTAACGTAAACCTCATCACTGATGAGGTCAAGGAGTTCTGGGCTACATCTGCTTGTTTTTTTCCATCACAGTTGAGCAACCCAATGATTTGGTTGAGAGAAGTAGAGACTTTTGAGGGGGACAGCAAGCTGGCGACCACTGAGAAGTGTTGTTCCTTGGCCACCTCCCTGTAGTGAGACCCCTCTCAAGTGGAAAAAAGGTATCGAAATGCAAATGTCCAGAAAATTTCTTTAGTATGGAGCAACACTTTCAGACTGTCTACTTACCATTTATCTTTGGGCTATATCTCTTCCTATAATCCATAATCTGTACATATAGAGAGAGATATAAATATAAATAGGGGTAGTTTGTACATTTTTCACCCTGCCACAAATAAACAATCAAATTTCAAGGAAAAACCTCTCTGTTCCTAAAAAGCCTGGCTAATGAGATATAAAATGCTTTGCTTTTTAAGACATCAAAAAAGACACCATTCTGAAATTTAGGTAAGAAAGTATGTGTATTAGGGGCTGGGGAGAAACATCTCAAAAAGGTCATCAGTTTCTTGGTATTGCAGTTTTCTGAAACTGATGCCAATTAATAAAAGTATTCCCCTATCAGGGTGGGCAAGAAAAACAACCATAAAAGTGGCCTGCTTAGTAACATGTAGTTTTTCTAAGGTTCATTAAGAAAGAATATAAACATATAAAAATAAAGAATTGGTTCCTACAGTGGCTGCATATCATATAGATTAGATAAATGATTTATGAGCAGAATCACAGGTTTAGAAAACAAAAAGTCTCAAGTCTACAAATTAGGTCTAATCAAGGCATTGATATCCTTTACAAAATACCTTTAGGAGACATTGCTATGAAGATATCTAATTCAATACTGAAGTACCTCATTTTTGAGTCAATTCCACAATATGTATACCCCACAAAAATGATACAATTAAAACACTTAAGTTCTCAACTTAAATTATTGCTTGTTTACATATAAACTGGATTTTATGTACCTTACAAAACTTCGGCTTAGTCAGCACTGCTAAAAAACAAAATAAAAAACACGTGGCGGAGGTTACATCTGTCATGGTATCTGCTGTCACTTTTTAAAACACACTATTATTTTCTCCTGTTTTGTAGGCCGGTGTGGCTGGGAAACAGAAAAAACACACTTCCAAAGCAGGTATCATTAGTCTGATTGGTATCAAGTCCTAACTTTGCTCCTCTCCTTGCCAGAAATGCATTTTTCTGAGATTTAAGAGTTAGCAATTGGTAAGTGGCTGGCAAAACATTTAAGGAAATGAAGGGCTTACCTGGTTTCTGTTGTTTTTATTTTTTAAGAAAATGAATGAAAATGGGGAGAGCTGGGGGAGGCAGAGGGGCAGGAAAACTGAGGATCAGATGGAGAAGAGAAGATGCTAATCCAAGCTGTCTGATCAATCTAAAGGGAGTTTCATAGGGAAATGAAAAAATTTCTTCACCATTCATCTTTTAGGTGAACTAGTTTGGTTAGAATGAACAACAAAAAATAGGGAAAGTACTTGTTAACATCCATAGCCCTCTCACAGGCTCCTTCATCTGTTCAGGAACTGAAAACTGTCCGTGGTTTTTTGAGCCGTCTACAAAGATACTATGACTTTATTGGTCTTTGCTTCTTGAGTGTCTCTACATTCAGCACTATCCATGGTGTCTGCTCTGCTTTTATCCTAAATGCAGGCTTTAGCTTAAATCACCTTTAGTTTGACTTAAAAAAAAAAAAAATTCTTTTCTTTCCCCTACAGGAAATTTTTGTACTAGACTGATTAGCCAGGGAACACAAAGCAAGAAACCAGTGTCTGGAACCAAACAGGAACAGAACAAGAGCACGGGTGTCTTCCTTAAGTACACACATCTAAATACATTCACTCTGACATGGGCACGATATTTGCCTGTCAACATCTACTTTGCAGGAGAGATCTAAGTTGCACTAAGGTGAATGCAGTGAACAGACTGAGCAACTGTCTGGACGCGGGCTTCGGACTGTTGAGAGAAGAGGCTGCTCCTCCTGCAACAGCCAAGGGGACTCGCCCCGGGAGCCAGAGCCCAGGTCCTGCTGCTGATCTTGCTCTGGCAGAACTGGATGGCAGGTCAGTTGGGTCAGAACAAATAGACACAGCTCTCCAGACTGGTAAGTGTTTTGAGCAAGTGAGCCCAGTCGGCTGAAGAAAGAAGCAACCAGCTACCTTCAGTGTCAGCAGTATTTCTGCAGGAGAATGGAGAGAAAGTTGTGAAATTTTTAGTAAGACCATCATGAAGCCTGTCCCAAGAGATCAAAATACATAGCCGTTTTAAGTAATGCTAGTCACCAAGGCTGCAACTGGTCGAGTTACATTGATTTTGATGCAGACGAGCAGCTGGCACTGATCTTAACCGCACATCAGTGTTTTCAAAGGCCAGCAGATCCTCCTACATGCTGTTCCAAAGGACTCAGACTACAACGGTTTACCAGTCTCTCCTCCTGAATGCCTGCTGCTCTCTTACCAATGATAGCTTAGCCCAACTTAATCTCTCCTGCCTTCTTAAAAAAGATTACTGAGTTAATGCAATTGCTGAACTGTCCTTGGTTTTTGACAGCATCCAATCTAGAAAAGGCGACCACTTTTTCTTTCTTTCTTTTTTTTAAAAGTATCACTGATATACAATCTTATGTTGGTTTCAAATATACAACACAGTGCTTCGACAGTTACCCATATTTTCAAGTGCTCACCACCTCCAGTGCGGTCACTGTCCATTAACACAGTAAGATGTTACAGAATCATAAACTGTATTTTCCCGTGCTATACTACTGTCTCTGTGACCCACCTCCATTGTGATTTCGTATTACTGTGTCCCTTAATCCCCTTTCCTGTTCCTCACTACACTACCCTTCCCAACCCCTCCCCTTTGGAAACTACCAGTCCCTTCTCGGTGTTTATTAGTCTACTATTTTGTTCCATTTTGCTTTGTTTTTATAGTCCACAAATAAGTGAAATCATTTGGTATTTGTCTTTCTCCACCTGGCTTATTTCACTGAGCATAATACCCTCTAGATCCATCCATGTTGTTGCAAATGGTAGGATTTCCTTTCTTTTCATGGCTGAATTAACATTCCATTATGTAAATGTAACACCTCTTCTTTATCCACTCATATTGATGGACACTTGGGTTGCTTCCTTATCTTGGGTATTGAAAATAGTGCAGCAATAAACATAGGGGTGCATATGTCTTTTCAAATCAGGGATCTTGTTTTCTTCCAGTAAATTTCTAGGAGTGCAATTCCTGGGTCAAATGGTATTTCTATTTTTAGTTTTTATGGAACCTCCCTATTGCTTTCCACAACAGGTGAACCAATTTACATTTCCACCAACAGTGTAGGAGGGTTCCCTTTTCTCCACATCCTCACTAGCATTTGTTATTTCTTGTCTCTTGGATAGTAGCCATTCTAACTGGTGTGAGGTAATATCTCATTGTGGTTTTAACTTGCATTTCCTGGGTGATTAGTGATGTGGAACATCTTTTCATGTGCCTGTTGGCCATTTGTATTTCTTTGGAGAAGTGTCTGTTCAGGCTCTCTGCCCATTTTTTAATCAGGTTAGTTGTTTTTTGGGTGCTGAGGCTGTGAGTTCTTTACATATTTTGGATGTCAGCCCCTTATCAGATAAGTCGTTCATGAATATATTCTCCTGCATTGTAGGATGTCTTTTTGTTCTGCTGATGGTGTCCTTTGCTGTACAGGAGCTTTTTAGTTTGATGTTGCCCCATTTGTTTTTGATTTGTTTCCCTTGCCTGAGGAAAGGTGCCCAGAAAAAAGTTGCTCATATTTACATTCAAGAGATTTTTGAGGCCACCACTTTCTTAATCCTTCCTCAAAATTATGCACTACAAACCCACTTCCTAGAAAATGCCCTTCTTGACTCTGTTACTGAGATACTCCTAGGGGGTCCATGGAGTGTGTTCTCCCTGGCTTCACCAAGCGACATAAACCAGGGTTTTGACTCTTGGATATGGCTAGTTTCTTGCCGCTAATGTGCTGACAGTTGAACACCAAGAGCTGTAGTGAGCAAGAATCACGTAGAGGTGTTTCCTTGGTTGGCAAATATATCTGTCAGTGTTTTCTTTGGCTATTGATGATCTTCCTCCCCCCAAATTTTCATTCACTTAAAAAATATCAATTGAGCATCTACTCTGTGCCAGGTCCATAACAAGACATTTCCAATCACTGCTATCAAAACATTGCTGAATAGACCAGGTAGACAAATAAATAACAGTGTGATCTGAGTTACATGAGGTGAAATATTGGCTGCTGTGGGAACATATAACAACTGCATCTGGGATTTAAATATTTAGACACTGAATTTTAGTGACTGTCTCAGATAACAGATATTAGAATCGTCAGAGATTATCTAGTTTAAGTAAGATTCAAGAGAAAATCAGCCCAAAATAATCCTTTTCACCACAGCATCTGGGGAAACTGGACAGATCATGAATTCTAGGTCAAAGGTGAATTACATTCCTGGTCAGGTGCACAGTTCTCCCAAGCTTAAAAAATTAGCTTAGAGGAATACCTCTTATTAAATTTCTTCTTAGAAAAGAACACTTAATGTACTTTTCTACACTATAAAGGTGAATATGACATTTATTTCTAATTTGCGTCACATGATCTTATATAGAAATACTCCATGGATTTGACTGAAATATGTGAAAATCTTTCAATTTTTCAGTTCATCTGGAAAAAAAAATTCTATTGAGAAGAATTTATATCATTAGAAACTTTCAGGCAGTGTTCTTTAACGTGGCCTTGTCCATAAGCAGCTATTAGTCAGAAATCAGTTTAGGGAAAGAGAATGCAGAATCTCTTTGGTACGCATCTCTGGAGTAACACTGCTGAGCTTGGTGTCCTGGCTGTGTCACTTAGTGGGTGGGTGGGGGGCTCATTTAATCCTCCTGTACCAAATGCTTCATAGGGCCAACACAAGGACTGAACAAAATGATGTAGATAAAATGTTTAAATAATTGCTGGGACATAATAAGTGCTTAGTAAATGTCACCATACCATCATTATTATCACCAACCCAAAGCTGATACTAGTGATCTGTTTCCATAACACTAGTAAATACAAGTAATTACAAGTAGGTTAGATATAAGAACCGTGTGACTAAGCAGTAAACTCAATTTTAATGTTTAAGTGTATGTGAAATATAAGGAATACTATAATAAGTCAATGTAAAAGGAAAAAATCTTTTGGTTAAATAAAATAACTGCCCTTTTCTAAATAGTTTTTTGGTAGATCTGTAGCTGTATATACTAGCTCTGCTTGAAGCATGGTATAATGTCAATCTCCATTTCTGGATAAATGGAACACAGATTCAATTAGTAATGGATCACAGTGGTTTTTAGTTCAACAAATAGAACCAGATTACCAATAAAATTTCTGAAAGGAGCACTCTGATCCACAACAGAGAACATTATAGAAACAGCCTGCTAGTGAATCCCTGCCTGTGCACACATCAGTAGGAAGGACAAATGCAAAGTGATTTCCAGTGATTACTCATGGATTAGAGGGATATACTGTACATCTTATCTGAAGGGAACAAGAGTGCCTGTGACAGACTGTTCTCTGGCCTTAACATTCAGCATGAACAAAGTACAGATGGCTAAGCCAGATTCAAGAGGAAGGCTGGAAAAAAGCAGAAAAAGTAGGAGGGGTATAAATGGCCCAGATTAGATGACATCAGGGAGAGACTTCTCACCATGAGTCCTGAAAGGTGCTTCTGATGGAAAGAACATCCGATGTTTACTGAAAGCTCCCTTTTCTGAGTCTGATGCTAATCTTTCTATTTTAGTTTGATGGGCACCCATCAGGCACCTGCACTTGTGTGAAGGTAAACGCCTTGGTCTGTCAGCCCACCCTGCCTCCATCTTTGCCTCTCTACTGTGCCCAGCACCAGTTCTGCGATGAGTCGAGCCAGCTTGTGGGGGTCCCTGCATCTCTCTGACTGCTTGAGACAGTTCTGTTGTTTCCTTCAGGTAATATATGTACAAGAGGTGGTCCTCCTCCTCTCTGGTGAGATATTCCACCACACACTAGCTGTGTGACCTCAGGTAAATTACCCAGTTCTCTGATATTCCATCTCTTCATCTAAAAGTGTTGGGAAGGTCTAAATATCTATGATGGGCCTGGCATGGTCCCCGATACATCACCAGAGACCACGAGGCCCAGGTAATCTCTCCGGACATGAAGTGCCCCAATGCTCCAGGCTGAGGACTTGCTAACATGGGGCTGAATCTCTACTGCATGTCCCATAGTGAGTATCCTTCTCCTCCCTCAGGATCTATACAAGGAGAGAAGGGTACCAAAGAAGGAGATATTTGTCCTGCTGAGGCCTTCTCCAAGGTTACCTGCATAAAAGTCTTAGGAAAGCCTCACAAGAGCTCCTCTGGGGGACGGGCAGTAGAGTGCAGGGGCCAAGACATACACACAGGGGTCAGCTGGTGTTGTGGGACCTTGGACAAGTCATTAAACCCCCACACCTCAGACCTACTGTATGAAGTGGGTGGTTTAAATGAGGTAATTTAAATAAAGCTCTTAGTAGTGAATAAGGCTTGTGGTAAATATTCAATATATGTTGCTTACTTCTGTAATTTTTAAAAAAGAAGACAACAAGACCATCCAAGGGCTCTCTTTACAGCAGGCAAGTCTTTCTTCTTGGAGATGACATAGTAAGTCCATTTTGGGGGCTCTTGGAAGATGGCAACAGAGGACTGGGCTGCTGGCCTTCCAGGCTGTGCTTCTGAGGGCCTTGTCCCCTACAAAGTGGCTTCCCAGATGCCTGCTCTGATGGAGCCCTGGCCTTGGCCGGCATGGTCACACTGAGGGGGGAGGGTGGGAGGTCTGATCCTGTCCTGGATTCAGCGATGGAAATGTGATCCTGGCTCCCAAATTCAAAACCCCCACTCCCTCCTGCCCTGTCCTCTCCAGATGATGTGTTCAGAAGGTAAGCTCTCTGGCACTTTTGGGTTAAAATGGATTCTCCTCTGTGGATGCCTATCATTAATGTCACTGCTCCCCTGGGCAGTACATCCCAGGTTCAAGCCTCTGCTTTCTGCACACAAGCCATTACTGTGTGGCCACGAGCTGTAGAGACACAGGGGCAGGTAGGACAGTGCTGGCCGCAGGGAAGACGCCAGCCCCGTAACTGGGCTCCAAACCTCAACTGATAGCACATTTACAGTCTATACATGTGGTTGATATGACATATAGTTCACTTTCTGTTGGGCTTACTATTTTGGTATATTAACACTTAGATGAGCTGTGCATCTGATGTGTTACCTGTGTACAGATAACATCTACAGACAGGACTCCTGCCCACAGACCACTCTGACATGTGTGACCGCGGTTATTTAAATGAGAAATCACACAGAGAAAATTCCCATTATGTTCTTAAAATGTGGGTCAAATTTATCCCATTATTTAAAAAACTTGAATGCTAATATAAAGAAATCCACCATGATCCACAATTTTGTAGGAAATTCAATATCAATTCTACATTTTCTCCACTGAGAGAGAACTTTTAACTTAACAGACAGTTGTCTACTCCTAAGGATTACATCCCTTACCTTCAGCAGGTCCCTCAAGTCCATTTCCCTGTGTGCCCAACTGCTCATAGGACCTTCCTGCAACAGATCTGCTGCTAGGCACACACTTCTGTGGGGTTCTATGTACTAAGCACTCTGCTGTCTCAAGATTTGGTTGAACTTAGTAATATCACTCTCCTTAGAACAGGTGTTTAAGGTAATAAGCAAATAATATACAAGATTGTTGTCAAAACAAAATGAAGTATAGATACTTAGAAAGAATGAACAAACTCAGTTAAGGGAGAAAGAGCAATTTTAAGTTAGTTCATCTTCCTACACATCTCCATTATGATTCAGAAAAAGCAAAAATAAGTCAAAGTTTGCCCTAACATGACTAATTCATTGCTAGTTTTTTTTCTTGCTTTGCTGTAATATCATTCCAGGGCAAAATTAGTGTTCTTAATTCATATACCACTATCAGTGCATTGAAAATGAGTTTAAAGAAACAATTATTCACATAAAACCACTATATGTCAGATAAAATTAGGTATTAAAAAAAATCACAAGTATTACAACTATCTTCAATCTACTGGCTGACAAGATATCTGCCAATTTGGCCTATAGAATATTCATATTCCCCTCACCACCCTATTTGTAAATTTCTTTGTTGTTTCTTACCCGTGATGCATCTCCCTCCTGCTTAATCATATCCATTCCAGGCAGCTGGCTTGGGAAAAGGTTGCCTCCCCTCAGAGCAGGATCATTAACCTGAGGGTAACAAGACAGGACAGTGACATATTCAGTGGGGCGTCTCAAAGTGCACTGGGAAACTGTCAGCCATCGACCTTCCTCTTCTTTGTTTTAGGAGGAAGATTACTGGGAAAAATGACTATGTAAAAATGACCACATCCCTTTGGCTTTCTCCCATGTATATCTTTTGGGGGGAAGAACGGAGGAGCATGAAAATAAATACTTGTAATACACTAGTTGCCTTCGAACTTAAATTTTGTTTGCATTCTGTATAGAAATTCTACCGATGGTAATACTAGAAACATTTTCATGCCATGATATGCTCACTGTTTTGGCTAGCTTGAATTATACTAATGACATATATTTTGGATTTTGAAGTCATCTGAGAGGCTCCTAATATCTTAGTTACTTGGGAAAGTTATTGATTAGCAAGAGCAAATGTGAATACCCGAACAGGGCTGGATTTTGTGAAAACTTCTATGACCACGTGAATTATTCATTAGCATTCATATTCTTTTACAAATGACCAAGTAAATGTACAAATGCTAATATAAGATTGATTTTGTCAGAAGATACATATTACAACTGTATTTTTAGCTTCCAGTTTAATTCTGATATTCAAAAGGCTTAAATCCAAGCAAAAGTTTCAAAGCAATCTGGATTACTAAAAAGGCACCAATTTACTTTCAGGAAGGTTGATTAGGACCCATGCTAGACTAGATCACACCTGCAGCCCTTAAATTGTATGCTTTCCTTAGTAAGCAAATCAGGAACCACTAGTAGCCCATTTTTTATAGAAAACTCAACATCAACACTATATTTTCTCCATTAAAAAGATAAAAGCCTAGATTTAATTTATGGCTGCTTAATTATGTGCTTTTGAGGGCCTTGTCCCCTACAAAGCAGCTTTCCAGATGCCTGCTCTGATGGAGCCCTGGCCTTGGCCGGCATGGTCACACTGAGGGGGCATGGTGGGAGGTCTGATCCTGATGATGGAATTAGCCATCATCAATTCAACTCTAGAAGGACAAATTATTACACACATACATAGAGCTTCTTTCTTAAGTTGTAAGGGCCTTTATATTTTCTCATATATCACTCTGCATTTTCATTAACATCTTTTTATAGAATAAAACATTGAGGCTCTAACATTTACCGAATTTTCATGCAAATTGTGGCTTACCAACACCAGAATTAAATGGACCTAACTAACTTTCAATCTTTTACCATTCTCACAATTGTGATCTAACTGAAATTTCGAGTGCTCTCAATGACTTAGTAAGTCATATAAACTCTCCAGGCCTTATTTTTCTATACATGAAATAAGATTCAGGGTCTTTGCCACATCTATACATTGTGTGAACTACTGAGGCAGTAGAATGCTAAGCATTTTTTGCCCTTTCAAAATAAGATCTTCTGTAAATACAACTTAAAGATCCTTAACCAATATCTTTAACTCTGGACTAGCCCACCACACATTTTTGAACCCTAGGCTGGCTACCTGAGATACTGAATGGTTTGAGTTTCTTTGCCATTAAGTGAGGCTGATGTGTACTTAGGGATGGCAGAACCATTTAAACATTATTCAACACAAAACAGAATTACTACTTAAAAAAAAATGAAAACTGACAAAAAAAAATGTCATCCACATCCCAAAGAAGATAAAGAATAGTTTTTGGAATATGTGTCAGTCTCCCTGCATGAGTGAAGTAAAGGCTAACTGGATGACCTGTGCGACTCCTCCAGTTTCATTTAGAAAAAAAACAGTTACTAAATTACAAACTCAAAATGAAGCTATTGAAAAAGCATATTCATCAGTCCGTTTTTAGAGATTCATTTTAGATATTGCTAAATTTCCCGAACATGAGAAAAATTTAAATGACAATAATTAAGAAATATTTTAAAAGATCCTTGAGTTGTCAGGAATCCTTTCATGTTTATTTCAAAATTAACAAGTATTTCTTTTAATGGTTCTAAGACAGGTAAAAGTACAGTTAAAAAAAAACACTCTTCAAAATTATGTGGGAGTTGACAGCAGATGTTAGGTACATGGAAAGATAGATTCAAAGCAGAAACAGACAAAAAGTTACAAACAGAAGACAGTGGGCTGCTTCTCCCTGGGATGCCCACCTGCTCGGGACCCATGGAGGACAGCCCTGACGTAGGCACGGAGGTCACTGAGGTCATGCTGATCTGTCCTGTCATCTGGTTCATGTTGCTCATCCCACCTGTGTTGGTCGCCATGGATACATTGATATTCATATTATTATTGTACATGCTGGTGTTTGCTTGCTGTCCAAAGTGTGGCGGGGACTGTTGTGAAAACATGCTAAAACATAATGAAAAGATTAAAATGTTAGAGACCTGAGGCACACAGGCAGACAGTGTTCAGCTCGTGTTTCTTGGGCATTTACTTCAGAATGATTAAATCGAGGCTGAAAGAACCCGGGATGGGACAGCCAGCGGGTGGCAAGGTTACACACGGCACGGGTAACCACACTCCCCCATTTTCTTAACATCATGTGAAGGTCTGGAAGTCTGTGTCCCACTTTCATGTCTGCCCTGGACAAGCTTTTTGCTTGGCTGTTTTTAGTCTATGTTCCAATAATGGATGGCTTCTAGGGCACTGACTTCCACAGCTGTTCCCTTCGTAAGTGGTGGGTGGTACCTTCTCAGAAGAGCTCCTTTTACTCTTAGGCAAAAGATACTTGCTAAGCTTTGTATATTCTAGTACCTTTTTCTCTAAGGAGTAGAAATTGATTTACTTAGCAGTTTACTTGACATTGCTTGCTTGAGCAAAGAAGTTAAGAAAAATACAGAGAAGATACAGGCGGTCTATAGAAAGATTCCCTGGTGACATTTCTATCAAAGAGATACAGAAATGTGACACACCTGTTTCCACCCATATTCCCCTGTGCCCATCCATTCATGTCAGAGGCCTGGTAGGCTGGGTTAGCCTGAGACTGCTGCATCATGGGGCTCTGGGTGTGTGTCATCCTGGGCGACATCAGAGGGCTCTGGGGCGTTGCAGCCCCAGCAAAGCCTGGATCAGGTTGCTGACTTATTCCTTAAAAAACAGAACAGAAATCCAAAGGAGATGGTTAGTTTTATTATGCAGACTGGGGGTGGGGGGCAGAGAACATTCAAATTAAATACATACATAAAATTACTTTCAAATACCCATTCATGTGCTGGTTCTGTATACATATTTTAAAGACTCCAAACTGGAATAAAACGCATAAAAAAATTGCCACTTTTTGATTCTCTCAAGTAGTTACAAAGGTGCCTACAAACCATATGAACCATCATGGCAAGAGGTGGAAAGAGAAAATTCCATTTTTTCTCCATAGCTCTCTCCAAATCTAGAAGGTGTCAAATATGTATATTTCTCTTTGACCTGAAATAGCCTTTACATTTTTATATATGACAATTGGATTGTTTAAAGTTTAAATTTGAGTAAAATTCATCTATGTATAAAAGAGTCAACATATTTGAGTAATTCTTTATTGAATTAACTCAAGTCTTTCTATGATGACATCAGTGCACTTAAAAAAGTAAGAGCTGCATTCTTGATTAGCTTATTTTTCTCTTTATAAAGGGCTCTATGGTACTTTAGTGTTCTCCAAGTCAGCAAGAATAAGAAAAAAAAATCAACGTAAGCTTCTTGTTCAGTTTAGAAGCAAACGGTTTTACACTAAAAGGAAAGGAAGAACTGTCAGAAGACTTTTCTAAATCATCAAAAAGGAAATACAGGACAAGAGCCTGGAAACAAAGGAGGCATCTTCTTAACAAATTTCAGGAATAACATGACGGTAAGTACCTTTTTACCTAAAAGATGTATAAAACATGCATATTTAATTCTTAAATTAGCTATAAAAGAAATGTTTAAGATCACACAGGAAAAAACCGCACTCTCTCTCTGTTCCTTTAAAAAAACAAGAGACATGAATTTAAGCTCCACAAAGACTTGAGTGTTATTTATAGATAACTCTGGCAAAAGGCAGGGAAAGTCATTTTGAATATTAACATTGATGTAAGCACTTACTTTTATCAATAATTTAACTATTAACTGAACATGACATGTACACAAATATTAGTGTTTATGACATTACATAGTTGTCTCTAAGACTGATATTAAATAACAAATCAATATGAAGAAAACTAATAGGTCTTCCATTGTGGTTTTACACAGCACTTCTTAAGAATTATCTATTCATTAAAGATTTGGTATAATCTTTATTCTTCAAAAGTTACAGAATCTCTAATATTTATACCTATATATCTATTGATTTGTTTGAATCAGATTCAGAGGTTTTCAAATATAAATATATATACATATGCATCCTTGTTTACAGACATTGACATAAACGTATATTCATACTCACTCACACACGACTGCAGAATGCACACTACACACTACACACGCACACTTACTTCGGTCATTCTTAAAGTAAGACCTGCACTCAGAGAAAAGGTGGTACCTGAGCTGAGAGGCTGGAAGGTACTGTGCTGGACCTGGGGACTCCTGACAGGCCCCAACTGTCCTCCCAGGATTCCTATCATTCCCTGGTTAGCCAGATTCATCTGGGAGCCATGCAAAGAGCTGTGAGAGAGGAGCTGTGACCCAGGACTGGGGGACACTGGGGAGAAAGGACTGGTGAGAGGTGGTGGGGATGGAAGTCCAGTACCGTAGTTTGGAGGAAATGGAAACTGCTGTGCATTTGCCTGGGGAATCCGGGGGTTGCTCATAGTTGCTGGCATGCCACTAGGGGCCACCATGCTGGATGTCATATTTAACCCTTGTCCTCGCATCATCAGAGTTCGTTGCTGAACTTGCTGTTGTTGATGCATTTGCCTCTGTCGAAGATGCTGGTTCAGGATTTCCCTCTGTCTTTGGGCCAGCATCTGGGCATTAATAGGTGCCTGAAATGGGCAATGATATATGGAGGTAAACATTTAGACACAGACTAAGAAACAAACGGTATATTAGAAACAGGATAACAAATAGTACTGTCTCACGCAAAATTACTTGGAAAAGAAAATTACAAGGGAAGAGCGTTTTAGAGTTGAACAACTGGTGGTTGAGAATGTGAGCTTCTAAGTTCCATAGGGATGATGATTACTCTGAAACTCTGTAGTGACTTACACAGGTAAGTTCAATGTTGGGATCAGTTAACTTGCACTCATTGTGAGAAGGCATGGTTAACTGAAGGACCTCTTAATACCACCAGTCCTAACTGGAAGACTGATATAAAGCTTGAGGATAGCAGTTTAGAGTCTCATTCAAGGGACATTCAAGTCTAGAGGAAGAGCAAATCAACTGTACCAAAAGGTGGCTTGAGGCACTTCAGAAAAGGCTGAACAGTAGCAGAAGAAAGTGGGAATGATGTAGGGAGAGGGAGGGTGATGGCAACATACAAAAAGGCCAGGACAGAATGGGAGGGAGCAAAGGGGGGATGGGGGAAGGGAAGGGCAGCGGGCGCTCGCTGCCAAGTGGAATAAGGCCCTTCAGGGTCCTAGCAATACACGGTCTGCAGTCATTATTCCTGGGTTCCTTATCTGTGAATTTGCCTACTTGTTAACATTTGTTTTAACCCTAAAACCAGTGTGTACAGCACTGTTATCATTTATGGGCATGTGCAGAGTGGTGACAGACTTGAGATGCCCAACGTGCACATTCCCACCCGAGGGGGTAACAAGATGGTGTGCTGCCATCTTCCAGCTGTCACACTGTAAGCGAGTGTCCTTTCTGGGGCCTATTTAGTTTCACGTTTTCCACCATGTTGGGCTCTTTGTTGGTGATTTCTCTATTTCCAATGGCCCCAAGCATAGAGCTGAGGTGCTGTCTGGTGTTCATAAGAACAAGATGCTGTGAGGTGCCTTACGGAGAAAATACGTGTCAGATGAGCTTCCACACATGAGGTGTACTGCTGCTGGCTGTGAGCTTAATGTTAATGAATCAGGAGTGTATCAGTAAGGTGTCTTCAAACAGAAACACGAATGAACAAGGGTACGTATTGATAGACTGAAGAAAATGTTAATGATCAGAGGCTGGCAGGACCCACACCTTCCATTTAGCAATGGTTCAACATCACTAATTCAGTGTTTACAGTCATAGAACATGACAAATGCGAATAATGAGAATCAACTGTACTTGGCAATGATCAGGAGGGAACTACAAAAGCCACAGCCTGGACGGATAAATGAGTGACATTTCAGGTGCGTCCTATCGATCTGGGTCTCCAGCCTTGGTGAGGGATGTCAGGGAGGGAGACATGAAGAGAGGAGTTCCATGGGGCCACTGAACGCTCACAGCTGGTTGGCTTCTTACCTGTGTTGGCACTCCAGGCCTCAGGGTCAAGTTCACATTTGAGACATTGCTGATTTGATTCATAAGTGGCTGACGATTCTAAATGCAAACATATGGGAATCAACACATCTTTAAACAGAATATATTTTATTTCAAATCACCCTCCTCAAGAACTCGCATGCCCCAGCCCCACCTCTGCATGCTGCTGGGACTAAAACCACATGGTTTGCAGCTGACTTCCCTTGTCAACGAGTTATCGGTGGTTTCATATTGTAACAAAAATTATTTTGGACTATTTTGAAAACATACTATTTGCAAGAGAGTACGGAAGTAGAATGATCACAAAAGGCAGCCAAGAGGAAGACTGGAAAAAAGGCAAGGACTCATCACTCATAAAAATGAGAGGAAATTTTAAAGCCTGCAACAGTTTTGTATTCTGTTTTACAGGAATCTGTCTGGGTTTGTTTCAGTGAGAACACATTTTCTTGAGCTGAACAGGTATTCCATTAGGCAGCTTCACTCTGTGCCAATTCAGCTAGCAGTGACTGTTGTTGTCATGAGATGGGACTGATGACAGGGGTCCCCACTGCCCTGAGTACTCACTCTCAGCTAGAAACACTGCCAGGCCCTGTATACGTACTGCCCCATACCGTACAACAACCCATTTTACAGACATGACAATCGAGGCTCAGAGAGCTCGATTTAGTGAAGGATAGAGCTGGGAAATAAAAGGCTCTGTGCTGGAGTGGAGTTTGTTGGGGAGAAAGAAGAAAGGAAGGAAGGAAAGTAGAAAGGAAATGAAAATTGTAGGATCATCTTGGAAAGGTTTTCACCCTCTTGGAGGGATGGAATGAGATTTAAGCTCCCCATAAGGGCCAACAATTATTGCCCCATCTCTGTCCATCTTCCCTGTCCCCTCCCACTGCCACCCCAGCTGTCCAGGCCCTGATGACGGTGTACCTGCTGTGCTTGGAGGCGGTGCTGCAGCTGAAGTCTCAGTTGATTTGGTTGGTTCTGTACCAGGCCCGTGGGCCTGAGGCCTGGCCTGGGCTGCATACGGAGTGTGGCATAACTGGGCCGCTGTCCCATGGTGTGAAAGTTTGGATCTTGTAGGGGACTATAGCTACCCTGGGCCATTTGTGCCTGAGATGCATACTGCTGTGGGAAAACAGGGGCCTTCTGCTCCAGCATGACGTTGGAATCCTGACTTGAGAACTGCTCCGGATCTACTGCCTGGCTCTGCAGATAAAGCCCCCAGATAACCAACACATAAATGAAGGCACCCAACATAACAGAGTAAGGCTGATTTCTGTGACTGTCATAGATTTGTAGCTTTTCGTATCATATTCATTTACTACACAAAGGTACTCTTAGCTTGACTCCACTTTTCTTCTTAGAAAATGCCTCTGTTCAATAGATCCAGTTACTTGAGGAAAGCAACAAGTTGGCCGATTTCCAAGGGAAGGGAGAAATGGGCCCTGACTACGGAACACCTCCTACTCACTCCACCAATCAGAGGCTGACCTGGCCTTTAACATACAGATGTCCCCAGAAGTACTAAGTTTTTTGATTGGTTATTCATACCTGTATAAATCATTTTAATTGGGCAACCACCTTGGTACCTAGTTGGGATTAGCCATGTTGCCTACCCACCACCATTATTCCCATTTTGCAGATAACTGAGAGTTGGAGGTGTGAAGCAAATTCCCACAAGCCCACCTGGCTAGTAAACAGTGGGTCTTAATCCAGTTTGTGATTTAGGATCTGAGCTCCTCAGCAGTGTGATACATTGCCTTTATTTAACTGTTTTCTGTGGCTATAGAATTCCCTAGATGCTCCCAACTTGCCACCACCCTACTGACTGTGAAACTTACTTAGTATGGTTATCATTCTTGATTTCTTAGGGCTACCTTATCTATCTGGGTCACAACAGGGCAGGTGTAGAAAATCCAGGGCTCCACCAAAGGCAGAACACAGACCCAGTGGCCCTAGGCGGCTACGCAGAGCAGAAAGGTGCACCTGACTAATTCGCCTCCTCCTTTGCCTACTTCTAGAAGTAGGTGCTACAAACCTGATATATAGGAAGGAAGGAAGGACCCAACAGCAAAACATCTCTCAGGTTTTCTTTAGCCTGGTGACACCCTAGGCCTCCCTTAAACCAGTCTACCCAAGTTAGAACAGGGGCCTGGAGCGGCCCAGACTACCTCTCTATGATCATTTGAAAAATGTGGGGAAAAAGTACTGCTCTAACTACATTCACAAGACTATCTCAGAACTTTAAATATTTGCCCATCTTTAACAGAGAAAATTCTATAAGGTAATTTCAATTTTTAAAGAAAACACAAAGTTCATTTGTATTTCACATTTCCCTGACTCTACCTAATAACCATATTTCTACAATTCAGTTTAATATATTATAATTATGATGGATTTGATGAGATGAAATAGAAGTAAAACAAATAAATGAAAAAAAAGACTAAAAATATTAAACAACACCAGTTTTTATAAAAACAATGCTATAAGTTACTCAGTAACCTTAAGGATCATATTTTAAATGTCACTTAGACAAAACTCAAGGATAACAATACTCAATGTTAAACTCTAACTACCACTAAAGGCAAAGCAAACCAGACACACAGGAAGTATTTAAATGCCATTTTCCTTTCTTGATTTATTTCAGGTTAAATCATGTAACCTCAAGTCATTTCTTTCCATTCTGCTGTTCACAAAATGAATCAACAAGTCTTAACTCCCACTCTGTCTGCTGAACTGTGGGAATTCTGACAAGACGATTTCTAATGCTGCACTGAAGTCTCAGTGAGTCTGCACCATCACTTTCACAGACCCTTAGGACACGTCATCTGTCCAAGAAGTAGACTGGACCCTAGGAGGTACTTTTTAGCAATAAGAAATAAAGGTGATTCAGGCTGAGGAGAAAGGAAGACAGTGACAAGACTGTGAGAGTTTTTCCTAGGTTACTCTTTATGTAGTAAAGGAGGATGTCTGCTTCATACAAACTTGGCCAGATTCAGAAAGTATTATGTTACTTTATGAGACTATGTTAGGTTATTTATTATACTATTGCTATAAAGTACTCTTAAAGCAGAGAATTACTTTAAGTAAACAACTAGTTATCAGGAGGAAAGCTAAATAAGCACAGTAAGATGGGTTAACTTCTTTATATTCCCATTATCCCCAATATTATTGGGGATTAAACCCACACAAAGGTCAAAATGAGTACCGAATTGCAGCTACCTCTCAAATGACTTCTGCTAACTTAGATACAAAGTATTCTTTTAGCACAAATAGCTTCCTATGACTAGCCCACAAACATAAGATTAATATGGTGATTGTGGACACTGGTTTTTTAGATGAAAGAGCTCTAGGTTGCTTGGGCAGTAACACACCATCCTTGGTTTCTCTGCTCTCTGTTCATGGCATATCCCTCCCTGTCCTTCAGTGACTGGACTTTAAGTCCAGTCTTTCAGCTCAACAATCCAAACTAATGGTCAATCTCAGTGCTTCCCACTCATGGGCAAAAGTTTATGTGGGAGTAAGAAGGATGAAAACAGAACTGGCTTGTTATGAGGTAACAAAGTATTCTAAAAAGCTGACCACAGATTATCTGTTAAGAAAAGACAGTGGGGATCTTTGTGACAGTGAGAAGGCTCGGCCCCTGCCAGCTTCCCTCTGTGTATACCTGGCTGACCAGTTCGGGTATTCCCAAAGCTCTGTCGATCTCCTCCAGGCCATCGAAATTCCGCAAGGCCAGGTAGAGCTGGTCCAAGAGAGCTCCTTCATCACTTGGAGACTCTGCCGCAGGATGTGGGCACAGCAAGTCATCTGGAGAGCTGCCAAATGGTTGCCTGCAAAGAGACAGACTTCATCCTGGGCCGTGGAAAAGCTAGCTGATTAGAGAATATTTTTTTCCTTAAAGACAAAAGTATCAGTTGACTCCCAAGGTCTCTGCAGTACAATACTGTACTGGCCAGACAAAGAACAAAAGGACAACTCAAAGTAATAGATAAACTTCATAAAGGGCCTCGTACAGGTCAAACACAAATTTAGGCATCTGATATATGATTTTTTTATTTCTATCACCCCCACTTTAAAGCTGGCAAAGCTGAGCCTCAGAGAGGTGAAACTATTTGTTAGGGATCATACAGACCGACACTGCAAACTCGGGATTCCAACACAGACCTATTTGATTCCAGAGCCCATCCGACCAACCATATTTCCACAAATCTACACTGATACATCAAACACATACATATGTTTACCTTGCACTGAAGTAATCAAAGGCCTTTTCTGAACTTCAGTAGAAAAGGCTAATTGACTGAAAAGTCTTATTTTACACAAGGCTGTGATGGCCCACTTGGGAGAGACTAGAGATCTCTAAGCGTAAAAGCGTTAATTCTGTGGGACTTGGCTGTTGCTGGACTAAACTTGGCTGGACCAACAGTAAACTTCTTACTCATGCATATGCAGGACTTTTAAACATTTATTAAAGCCCACAAGAAGTGTGTGGCTATTAGCCTTTTGGAGTTAGGCAAGAAAGTAGATCATGAATATGCAAATTATATTTGTTATTATACACAGTAATAGGTGATAGAGAAAGAGTAACACTAAACTCCACGGTATACAAAAATCCTACAATTTAAATTAAATGAAAAATTGGGGAAGCTTTTTAAAAGAGCTTCTGAGTTGCTTTAATATCAAAAGTGGAAATGATACTTATATTTTTCCCAAACAGTTCTATTTTGTACTCTGAGAGTAATTTTATGGCATTTTGGAGAAAATAAAAGTTCACAGGTAAATAACTTCATTCTTAAGAAGTGAGAATAGATTCACTGAAGGATGAAGTTACCCAACTAACCTATGTAATGCCCTATTTTTTTAAAGACAGCTTAATATATCACTCTGAAGCCAACAATTAATTTCAAACAGTTCTAATACAGTGCACTGAAAAACCACCTTTCCATTTATCCCTAGTCACTTGGAAGGAACATCACCCAGGTAAGTGTACCCTTACTGACACAGCTCACCTGTTGTCCCACATTCCCACTGCCGCTGAGTTGTGGCCACCCAGCAGTGCAGCTGCAGCCACAAGCCAAGTGTGCCACGTCCTGCAGCCGGTGCCCCGCAGCTAGTGCCCTTCACTGTGCCCGCGTTGCTAGAAGCCTCTGCGCCTATGCTCTCAGGGCCTGTGCTCTTGTGCTGGGGCTCTTTCTGCCCCTCCCTCTCCTCCCCACCGTGGCCTTTATTCTCAGTAAGATGCCATGCACTGGAATGGCTTGTTCAAGCCCGTCCCTGCCTCCCCACCCACACTCTCCCAGAATTAATTTTTAAACACAATTGTGATCAGGACACTCTACTACCGCTGCTCTTAGGGAGTGGGAGGAAGATGCAGAAAAGTAGCAACAAGAAGGAGAAAAACCACAAAACAGCATGTCACAGAAGCAAAAAGATAAGGAAATTTCCCAAAGAGGAGTGGCCAACATTTGGATGTGGTAAGTTTCATGGAAAAAAAAAAAGTTCAAGTCAGTCAAGAGTGGATGTCTTCTGTTTACCAAAACTCTCTTAAGCCTGAGACTTCATTCCCCCAAAATGCTAGTTAAGCGAGGCATTAAAGTACTTTCCTTGTCTAGCTCTAGTTCATGACTTTGTTTCTTCAGAAGCTTCATTCCTACACAGACAGAAGCCCCCAGCCCAGATCCCTCCACCGATGAGCAGCCAAGTCTACCTTCCCCAATGAGCAGCCAAGTCTACCTTCCCCGTGAGCTCTAGCAAGGCTGCAGGGGCTCCGTGTGAAGCCAGAGACCCCCAGTCCTGCATGTGGCTGAAACCCAGCTCAGAAGGAAGGTGTGCAGCCGTTCAGACCTTTGCAAGACAACCCCACCCAAGGAAAGACACATGCAAATGCTTCAAACAAAACAACAACAAACTAATGCAAATGTTCATTTCATTTAAACAATTTCCTACATAATAAAAGAACTAGTTTTTGTTACATGCTTTTTTCCACCCTTTTTAAATTAAAAAACCAAACTAATGCATGACATAGATTGAAAAGTAGAATAGTGCCCCCTGGCCTGCGCGCTCTGGTCAAGACCCTCTTAACTTAAATCAAGCTGGAGCTCTCCTGGAACCTTCCAGCTTACAGTCTCTCTCAGATTCTCCTAATATGATGCTGTGAGGTGCCTTTTCCCAAAACACACTTTGCCGAGCTGACTCCAAATTTCTTACTTCAGCTGTCCCAGGAAAACATCCAAGTTCCTGGGACACAGTGGTGGTGGTGTAATTCTAGGACACACACACTTTGGTAAGGCCTAATCTTTCCAAACTTAATGCCCACAACTTCCCTGGGAGTCCCAGCAACCCTGGGCATTTGATCTTTCCTCAAAAGATGCCAAGACTTAGCACTCCATGCTCTCCCTCCAAGATTCCGCCTTCCCATCAGGCTTTGGTGTATCTCCTTCACAGCCACCCTCAACGACTCCCTATTCTCCTCTCAATTCTTTGTGTGCTACACTGAACAGATAGTGGCATTTATGTTAAAAACATCAACTTTAGACTGTGCCCATGAGGACATCTTAAATCTCTTTGTTGGCCCAGCACTTGAACACATAGGTTCAAAGTTTCTAGTTGATGGAAATAAAAGATTCCTAATCTAGCCAGAATATCATATTTCATACTCAGAAAAATACCCTGTACTGTGGCTTGGTATTATAAATTTGAGCATAATATGTGTTATATCATTTCCTTTAGAGATGTCAGTGTATAGTTGGCTTGTGGAAAAATACTAATCCAGACTTCTAATCCCAACTTTATAAATGGCTGCCAACATAATGAAGAAATTATTTCCCTACATTTTGGGCAATGACAATTACAGTTACAGTCTAGACAGTGTCTGACAGACAAACACAGTATTAAGGATGAAATTCAGAGGGATAAAGGGAAGAACATGCACATGCCCTGAGCTGATGCAAAATGATAAGTAATAAACTAGAAGAGAGATTTATCATTGAAACTCATTTCTTGAAATTTACACTTTTATTTTAGACTAGGAAGACATTAAGAATGGCGATAAGAAGGGAAGTAAGGTCAATTCTGAGCTCTTGTTTGAGAAGCCGTATCACTGCCATCATGTTTTATGTGTATTTTCAAAATTCTGCAAAGCAGTAGCAGCGACTACATGATGTAAAATAGTCAACAAAAGAAACTTCACTCTCAAAGACATTTCAAACAAGAAAACCAAAATAACTTGTAAGTTTTGAAATTAATAGGAAAGCAAGTCTTTGATGAAAGGCAGCTACTATATTTCAAGAGAAAATAGATCACTTTTGTAAATCCAACAAATCTTCAAAAAATCATCTATAAATCCTGGGCTATCTTTCTAAAGCATCTCTTTTACATACCAGATAAATGAAGAAGAAAAACCAGACCGGAACTACAGAAAATGGAAATTCAGCTATAATAAAGGGGCATGAGGATATGTTAGAGACTTAAGGGCTAAACTACTGTCTTTTTGAAAAGTGCACATAAATTAATGCTGGGTAAATAAAACAGCAAAAACTTGTTTCTAAATAGGAATTAAAAAATGCACTGCTTTCCTTTAATTTCAAGAGAGACATGGTTAGAATCTTTGTTATCCTTCTGGATTTCTGTGACAATAAGTTACTATACAGTTGGCCATAAATTTCTTCCAAGTTCATTTAAAATAGAAATGGAGTAACTGACTGGAAAAACTGAAATAACTTTAGAAGTGGTGAAAATGTTTGGTTTTGCCTACACAGTTCTTACACAGAGAAAACTGACCAGACAGTAGCCAAAGCACCAACAGAACAGGGGCGTTGCTGAGCCCCAGAAACTTGCAAGGCGACCTTACCAAGCTTGCCCTCTGATGGGAAGCCGTGTGCAACCTGGAACTCTTCCATTTCTGTGTTAACAGACCTGTCATCTGTTTGGGCAACAGTGAAAATCCTAACTTTGGGCCTAGTTTTCCATAAAATTAATCTTTGACATTTCATCCAAAAACAACTATCAGATGCTAGATTTAGTTATTGTACTATGTTTTTAATATGTGCAAGTTTCCATGGCAATGGTGGTGGATTTTTTTTTTTTGCAATGGTGGATTTTTAACAAATAAACATATTTAGAAAATATTTGTTATATTTAACAAATAAACATATTTAGAAAAAGCCTAATACTCACTGACACCATGAAATTAAATTCAAAGGGTTGAAAGGATCGCAAAAAAGTACTGCCTACAAGTAGGACTATACTGGTTATTTACATGATGCTCTCTTCCCAGTGATGGAGGCTACTTGCTGCCCTTGGCAGCTGATCCAGGGAGAGCCAGAGTGACTGACTGCAGTGTTCCTGCCTGTCCCTCCACAGCCTCATTCCTACTCAAAGTGCAGTGGGAGGACCAGCGGGCTTGCTAGGAATACAGAATCCTGGGCCCTACCCCTACCTGCCTTTTCTTGAGACCCCAGAGGGGTTTCATAGGCAAAGCGGGGTTTGAAAACACTAGCTTCTCCCTGTGAGTGAACCTAACAGCTGGCGAGATGCCCCCTTTATCTCCCTAGGACAGTATTAAGCAGTCTCCTAATTTTTTCTTTCAGTGAAATAACTAGCTCCCAACTTTTTTTCCCACTTGCTCTATTGCTGGGCTCATAGTCATCTTCTGTTAATTTTGGTTTTTCAAAAACTTGATAGAATCTTCTGAATCCTTCATTACTCCCTTAAGACAGAGAAGGGAACATGGATACCACGTGGCAGTTCTGAGCTGTACAATGCCAGCTGTGACAAAAGCATTATATCCCAGAATAAGAGTCACTGAAACCTCCGTATTTTAAAAAACAAGTCAGACACTCTGGAAATGTATTCTGCCCTTATGAAATTTCAGAAACCCTGGTACCTTTCATCACTTGTGAATTTGATAAAGAACACTACATAATTTTAGACTAAAATAATCCCTGAAAGATAAATCGTTCAGCCTACAGGGAGGCCCTCACTGAACCTGACCCCAACTCTTCACAATGAGCCCCAAGGCCAAATTTCTACAGTTTAAGTTTCTAACAAGTTTACTCCCTGGAAAACACTGCCTGTGTCCTTTAAGTTCCCACAATGCCTCTCTCTTAGGCTCCCAACTCTCCCTGCCCTGGATGCCCTTTGCCCACCCGCCAGCCTGGCAGAGCAATCACTCAGGCCTTTAAGGTCACCTGCACAACTTCTGCTTCCAGTACTCTGCTAAAAAACAGTGAGATCATGCACATTGGTGATGTTGGCTTTGCAAGGAATAATGGAACTCTCAAAGAGGAAAAACAACACAAAGCAAAACAAAACCCACCTAGGAGCTCAAACTCAAGCACCCTGTGAGCCACTGGTGACAGATGTGTTTTTATCCATAAACATAAGAGAGCTGGGGCTTTGTCTCACAGCAAGTATGAGAGCTCATTTCAGACTGTGGGATTGAATTGAGGGAACCTGGGGCAGACCCAGAGGAGTAGTAATCCCCACCCTTGGCAAGAGACCATCACAAATTCTTTCTCTTAAGTAAAGGGTCCTTGATTTTGACATCAGACATTTCATTGACCAAGAAGAACCAAGAACTCCCACCTGACCAAGAAGAACCAAGAGGGAAGATTACCAAAATACTCAGGGGACCAGACCATCGTGAGTAAGAGTCAATCACTGGATTTAGAACTTCAAGAAATGTAGGTATTGTAATTATCAGATAAAGAAATTTAGAAAATGATGGGTGTAATGTTTAAAGATATAAAGATGGAGTCACAAAAATAAGCAAACAGTAAGAGTCTATGAAAAATGACCAGGCAAATACAACTTTACAAGTGAAAAATATAATTGGATTAAACATAGCTAAGAGATAATTAATGAACTAGAACACAGATATGAATAAATTACCCGGAATGTAGTACAGTGAGACAAGGAGATGGAAAATACATGGATTAAGAAACATGGAGGATAGGATCTGAAATTAACTAATGTAGAAAGAGAAAGTGTAATATTTGTCTTACTAGAATTCCAGAAAGAAAGAACAGAGTAGATAGAGGAGGGGCAGTATATAAAGAGATAGTGGCTAAAAACATTCCAGAATTGATGAAAAAAAAATGCACAACATATATCAAATACCAAGCAGTATAAATAAATCTACACATAGACACTCTGTGGTAAAGCTAAAATGCAGAAAATACCAGGATATTTCAAAAGCAATTAGAGAAAAGATCACCTACAAAGAAACAAAAATTATTACACTGATATTCAGAACCAAAAAGAAAAACCCTCAATCAAACTTGATCATATACCACTTCCTTTTTCAAAAAGCTTTTTCAGCAGCTTAATGAAAGTCTGAATTATCCACCATTGTTAATCTACTGTTTCAGCCAAATCTTCTGATACTGCCTTTAATTTAAAATTTTTTATGTGGTAAAATATACATAACACTAGACCATACTCTTTCCCCTACATACACTGTGTTGCTCCTGTAACATGTAGGCCCCTGATTAAGCTGCTTTTGCCATCTAGACTGGCTTCCTGTCATCTCTATCTCCTGAAATGACACCTTTTCTTCAAGACTGAAGCTTTGCCCAGTCAACCCACTTGGATATCTCTTAAAATACGGTTTACTTCTCTTAGGGCATATGAATACAAATACGAACTACAAATTGCACACTGCCTCACTACAGTTTTTGGTGTGCATGTCTTATTTTACAACCAAATCTTAACTTCTTTAAAAGCACATGCTACGTCTAACTGATTTTTGGATTTCCCTCCCCCTTGTACTGCTTGCCTAGTAGATGATATAGTTTAAACACATGAAGACTGGTCAGTACCAACTGTTGAAAAAGAAAAGGCACAGGACTAAAATAATTTACAGAACCCCTTGAACCACCGCTCTCTTGGCCTTCCTTGGCACCCGGGACTCACCTGTTTTGGCTGGCAAAAGATGCCTGGTCTATAGGCAGGATGCTTTCGGGCCACGGGGCAGTCTGATTTGGAGGAGCTTGTTGTTGGCTGTACTGAGGTCCTCCCATATTCATCTCCAATTCAGATGGCCCTAAAAAGAAGACAAATAATCCAAAAATCATATAGCCTGCAATCAGGTAAGTGTCTATTTCTACTATAAAAGGAAATACTTGGTTTACAGAAAATGGAAAAGACAGAAGCAATAATAATTAGGTGAAAATATGGGAGAGAATTTTTGTTTTGAAACAGAAATAAAGGCAATAAATATCAAGGCTAATCATCCACTTTAGGGAATATCTCGAGCAGCAGTTCTGAACCTCTTACACTTAGGACACTTTATATTCCTTAAAAAAAAAAAAAAGCTTTTGTTTATGTGGGTTATATGTTACTGATACTTACTGTACTGGCAATTAAAATTGGGAAGTAGAAAAAATAATGATGAATTTAAAAATCATTACAATAAATCCACTAAATATAAATACAAGTTTTGAATAGAAATCGGAAAAAACCTTTTACTGGTATTGTTTTAGATTTTTGCAAATCACTTTAATATCTGGATTGATAGAAGACAGCCAGAATCTCCTATTGGCTTCCACATTCCATCTATTATATCACACAGTTTGCAACTTGTAGAACCCTACTGCACACAGAGAGAAAAGGCATATATTGTTTTACTTACGCAAACAGTCTTGGTCTTACAGACCCCTGGAAAAGCTATCAGAGTTCTGGACCATACTTTTGAGAGGTGCTGGTCTAGACCACTTGCTCCTAAACTTAACTGTACTTCAGTTACTCTTCCACCAGAGTAAGGGTGGAGCACAGAGGAGGCCCAGACAACTCAGCTGTGTTTCCTTTTTAGAAGTTTTTTTTAGAGTTCTAAAGCTAATGGACAGCTCTGAAAACTCCAGTGAGTTTTTTAATGATTTTATTGTTTTCTTTATTTGTAATCCTGTCTTCTGTTTCAATACGTAATTTTTCATTGAGTTCATGGCTTTTTTGAGTCTATTACAAATTGGAGAAATTCAACTATACCATAAAGCTTATCAAGCCATATTTCAAACTCAAAAGCCTGGTGAGGTGCCCTTCAGTGTAGAAAGACTGAGGATTAGTTAAATTTCTGGATATAAGGGATTTGTTATTATGATTTTTGAATAAATGAATATTTTAAAAACTTCACAATTTAATTCTGCATGGAAATCCGGTCATTTTTAGCATTTTTCACACAAGACTCAAATGATATGAATTTATGTTTGGGAGACACACATTAACTTGAGGTACATTCTCTGTAGAAAGGCTATGTGAATCTCATCTTTCAGAAACAGTAAGCCAAAATGTGCTGAGCAATTAAACAGCTAGGTAAGAAAATTGATGCCAGGCCCAGGATGATAATTCTACACTATCATGTCAAAACAATGCTGGCATCTTTCTGTTAATGATTTAGATCTTACTAATTGTGTGGTATCTAAGCATATGAAGAAGTACATAAACATTAACTTATCTGAACTGTGTTAATGTGCAAGAGGAAGATTAGTATGTCAATGATTAAGAAAACTCGAGTATGAGTTACACAGACTATTTTTTAAAATAATGGCTTTACTAAGATATACCTCACATGCCATACAGTTCACCCATTTAAATTCAGTGGGTTTTGGTATATTTGCAGAGCTGTACAAGCATCACAACAATAAGTTTACATTTTCATACCCCTCGAAAAAGAAACTCTATGTTCATTAGGAGTCACCTCATTTCTCCCACAACCTTAGTTTCAGGCAACCACTAAGCTACTTTCTTTCTCTACAGATTTGCCTATTCTGGACATTTCTCATAAATGGTAGCATGCAATGTATCAGACCATTAACCTTAATAACATGTGAACTGTATCCAGGGAGAAGTCTAGTGATTCTTACATGAGATGTTCTATAAGACCTTGAAGCTTCGGTGAGGATCTGGGAAAGTTTGTATGAACAGTCTAGGGTAGTGGCCAAGGGATCTGCATTTTAAGTCCTGAAAGAATTCTGATGATCCAGAGTTAGGAACCACTGCTATATCACTGAAATACTTTAAATTATCATATATATAACATTCATAGCATGACACTCTAATTTGCTTCCCTCAGAAGTTGAATATTGAAAATAAAACATCACAAAGGTAGTTGGCTCCCATATGCAACTGAAAAACCTATGAGAGTCTATGGTTCTATACAGAGTCCAGCAAAATCCCACTTATGACAGCTGGCCATGAGGGTTAACTTACCTAAGATGTAAATTAGGAGCATGTCTTGAAAGAACTTATGGCCCTGTTAGTCCCTTCTAAGAAAGAATAAACATTAAAAGCCAGAGCACTGGCACTACCTTACCTATATTCATGACCTGAGACTGAAGCATCTGTCTTTGGCCAGGTTGGCTGTTGGGTCTCATGGGGATGCTGGCTGTTGGGTTCCGAATCATACCTCCTTGGATGGGCCGGTTCATAGCACTGGTGGTCGCAGCACAGGTGACTCTCACGGCAGAACTCTGTGGTGGCCATTCCCCAGATGGCATAGTGGGCCGGGCAGCATTACTACCAATCATTCCTGCGGGCAAGCCAAGGACAACTGAGAAATACAGTAACTGAAACCATATTCAGCATGTATGAACACCAGAAGACCTTACTCTGTACAAGACAATCACTCTGTGATACAGTTAGCCCAGGGCTATTGCCCTCACTGGGACAGATGTGGGCCCTTGGCTAGTAAGTAAGAATGGGCAATTACTACAAAGTTTTCACACCATGAACTTGCCACTCTTTATAGTTCGGAAAAGCTATTAAAATTGTTCCCATATGTAGTTAGAAACAGGTGCCGTGGCGTGTGGATAACCCCGACTTCCTTCCTCAGGAAGTGAATCACATGCTAGCTGATACACACGTCAATGCTTTACTTTCCAAAAGGGAGGTGAGGCTAAGAGGAACAAGGTGAAGACTGATAATCAATACTTTCACTACAAACTAATATCATAGACAGTATTCTGTAAAGCCTATCCCAGACTTCTAAATCCTGGAAATCATTTCAGAGTATTATAATTTGTTAGTTACAGAATTGACCAAGGTGTCTCTGAAGCATGGAGATCTCACAACTGTTCTTTATAGCCACGGCAGGAGCTCCTACTACTTCAATATACCTGACAAAAATCCTTTCATACTTGAGATAGAAAGTTATCTGACCACACACACCAGTAAGAGTAGAACACTGCCAACCGAGCAGGATAAACCTCTTTGCTCTGTCTGGTCTGGCCATCAGAGATGCTGGCAATGGCTAAATATTTGCTTAGACTTGATATTCTTAAGGGGAAAAACCCCAAGTGAGGACCCTTCATTTTGAAGTGTTCTACTTTTAAATACAATGGCTTGCTTTCATCTACTTTACTTATGACAACAACAAAAGGGTATATTTAAGAAGGGGAGACCAAACATGTATTTTGGGTTTTTCACTGGTGAAATGAAAATATGCTAATATAAGGATGATTAAGAGTAAAGGGTAATTAATTAGTTTGAAAAAATTAGGATAATATGATAGTAATACATATTTTAAAAACCATTTTAAGATTGGATGGATTCAAACTATGCAAAGTTATTACGCAATGTTATTATGGGAGAATGGGCATTTTATTTTTCAAAAATCTATTACCTAAGTAATACAACAAGATTATAGAAACTCTTGAAAGCAGAAGAGAAAAACTGTTCATAATTCAACAGTATCAATGCAATTACAACTGAAGTAGTCTCTTGCAGTTTTTCTATCTTTTTTGAAACAAAGCACAGGCATTGTATGATCTTCACTCTGGACCCTAGCGATCACCAGGTAGCCCAGATTTGACTACAGGCATATCCCCAAATTCCTACCTAAGATTCCTACAAGAACGCCTATCTTATATTTTGCTAATAAGAAGGCACCTTTAATTAATCAACAGCTCCTTTTCTGCTACAGAATTTTACATAAATCAGTACTTTATATAAATCAATACTGTATCTTAAAAATAATATAAAAGTAATATGGCACTGATTCTGAGTATATAAACTAATGAAGTAGTCAGTGCCTGGCACATACAGTAGGCACCCAAAAAATATTTGTTGAATAAATAAACAGTTTTTATACAAAATAATTCATGTTTCCCATGAATTGCTTATCAACAACAGAAAAATTTAAAAATCCATCTTTTCTCAAGTTGAACTCTAAGTTTTGTTTAACTATCTAAATAGCAGTGTGTACACAGGGGTTACAGATTAAGCTTAAAAAACAAAATAACACAAAACCAAAAGACCAACAGCAATTAAATAAGTCCACAAATACAATTTCTTTTTGTAATATCTACTTCTGTGAATGCCTTTGTCTCTAGTACCTCAGAGAAAGAAAACTGTAAATTGTGAGCAGTTCTTCATTAGAAAACTCAGCATCCTGTTCTGTGATAGGCAGATATACAGGGTACAGGATGTGGTGGTAAAAGCAATCAATCTCGGTATAATCATTTCTATTCTGAATTGGATGGAAGCTTGGGAATACGGTAGCTACTTCACTGATGACCACTAATGTGCCTGGGCAACCTGGCAGACACCTTTAAGCTATAGCAGGTCAAGGTCCAAACCAGATCACAGGGAAATTCACAAACCGTCAAATATGGAGCCCTGAACCAGTTACTAATAGGCCAGGCATACAACTGTATGCTGAAGTTCTTCATTTTTAAAGAGTATTTTTCTGAATAAGAACTGCACTGCTTTTAAGTATGAAAGGCTGGTTGAACTTTACACTTCCATTCTGAAATTCTCCAAACACAATTCATCAGTGAATACAAGTTTTGGGATTATCAGCAGATTATCACAAAACGTTAGCAACCACCAAATTGCTTTATACATACCATTGCAGTGTCTAGAATAGTAAACTGCAATAGAAGTGAAATAAGCCTATGCTCTAGGATTAATGATTAAAGACCTCAGAAAAGTAAAGATCACAGATAGAGTAAAATGGTCAGCTTACTGGAATGCTTTCCAGTGCTTCATATGCCACTCTCATAGTGAAACTATAGCATTTCTTATGTTTGAACATTAGTTTCTAACATAAAAAAGTCTATTTGAAAAACTCTTACGACTTGGATGTGGATGGATGAGTACTTCATTAAGTTAAATAACCCACCCATAAAGTAACGGTGCATTTGAGCCCTTACCTGTGCTACTGTTCCCTAAATTTCCTTGGTTGCCTATCATGCCTTGATTGCCCATCATTCCTGGCTGAGGTATCACTGAGTAGGGACTACTGTTTCTGATTGGTGGGAAAGGTCCAGCACCCGTTGGGCTCTGCAGTGTGATGTCAAGTGGTAAATTCTGGCTTGGCAATAACCTGCCCAGTTGCCCTGGTCGTGGGTTATTAAAAGCTAAGGAGAAAACAAATGAAAACTGAAGGTTAATATAGGATAATGGAAAAGAATAGTAACAAAAGTAGTTTTTAGGGAAAATGTTCTTTGTAAAATAACACAGATAGGCACAATAGGGGCCAACTGCCTACATAAAAGACAAATTCACAGACAAAGAAACCCCCATTCAGTGCCAAAATGCAGACTTGTAATCTAATCAACAAGTCTCTAGGTTAATTCTTGACAATCCTGCAAAAAAAAAGAAAAAACCCCTCAGAACATGCCTATTATTTACCATATATTTTTCTCTCCAATATTGATTTGTAAGATTTAATTGTATTTGCTTGCTAAGTACATCACTAGTACAGTTTTTTTTCATGTGACATTACTGAAGTTTAGGAGTACTACTTTGTTAGTCACAGCTGGGAAGCTATAAACATCTCTTGTATACGGCACCAAACCAGCCACATGAGGTTTGGACATACCAGTTCTTAACTGGACTTCCCTAGGAGTACAATTAGGTTACAAGTGCCTCCTCTCATTGGAGGGTAAAATTGTTAAGTGTGATCTCTGCTACCTTAAGTCAGCACTAAAGCTTTAGAGCCCTGTTTAGTCTTCTAAATAAAGCTCCTTAAAATTCCAGATGCATTTACATTTGAAATAATTCTTATGGTTAGTTCACAAGAATTTACTGTGTACAATGCACTGTACTATCCCAGAGACAACCAGCAATTTGATAACAATGTTACTGAATTTTAAAGTATAAAGGTATTATAAATTACAGTTAATTTATTAAATATCATGTACTTTATTTTCCCTGAATTATATAAACTATGAAATAGAACATTTTGAAGAAAGAGTTAAGTTCTTTATAATCAACAGAAATAAAATATTTAGAAGAATTAATTGGAATAGAAATTATGTACATGCTTAATCATGACTTCCTCAGGTTTAGTTAACTGCTTACCATTCAATAGTCTGAATACCATTAGGAGGTACAGAGAAGGGACCATGAGTTCCCATGCAGTCCTTCATTAATTCCTCTGATTAATGAGCATCATCTTTCTAGTGTGTTTCTTACTTACTTCCCAACTTTTGGACTTCGTGTCTCCCATGGTCTATTAGAAACCCTCCTCTCCCCAAGAAATAGACAGGTTTAAGAGGTAAGAAAAACCTCTGTTTTGTTTTACCTTATTCAGAATGATCAGGAATCACATGAAAAAATATCTAGTGATTAAAGGGATTTGTGATCTGCTTGATGGTTGCTATTTCTGATTTGAAAACAAAGCTAAGCATTGTATTTAATGAGGGAAACATCATTCTGTTCACCAGTTTAACACTAAAGATGTTATTTATCTTTCTATTAATTATGTTCCTGGAACAGGATAGATTTTCTTCCATTCAAAACTACTGAGCAACTTCAGTTAACTTTCCTATAAACTAAGTGTTCAGAGTGAAGAAAGAGTTCATCTTAAACTTGCAAAAATCTAAAATAAAAAGAATGATAAAAAATATTTTATAAAACAGCCTAAGGTCTTCAAGCTTTATATCAAACTAAACTTAAAATGTACTTAGAAAAATTTCTTTGATAAAGTTCTATGTACAACTGACATTTATGACGATTCTTTGGAGATAGGGCAAGATATTTTTAATGTGTGTAGCCCTTTCATGTATAATGACTAAATATTTTAAGAGTTTTTAAATAGTGTATTAGCAAAACTTCTGAATTTTTTACATTTAAAGTATTCAGTTATATAATAAAACATAGAACCTATTTTAAACTCTATTTCTAACGGCTGCTCAAAATGAAGGGAACTATGACAATCATCTAAAGAACTTTATGTAGGTCGGCCTTAAGCTATGTTGATTAAATTAGCCGCAGGAGACTGTTGGAAAGCCGTGTTCACTAAAATCCGTTGTGAATACTGTTTTGAAGAAAGAGGACAGTAGATGGTGCTCTTTGAACACAAAAATCTTGAAGTGACTAAGCTGTTTGCATCAGATCTTAATAATCTCTGTTTCTAATGGTGATTATATGGGCATTTCTTGGCATAACCATCAGCATCTCATACTCACTGCTCTGTGAAATGCGCAGTGCCGTCTTCTGGGCTCCAACAGGTGTCACAGGGCTGTTTTCAGCTGTGAGTTGCATGAGGTCATTGATGATGGCTTGCTTGTCAACTGATCCAGCCGGGGCGCCTGGCCTCGTGTCTGGGAAAAGCTGTGGTAATTGGCTATTCTGCAAATCATCCAAAATTTCCTCCAAGTTGTCCAGCTCGCTGCCAGGCTGTAGTTAACAAACAGAAGAGTTTAACCCAGCCCCACTCTAAAAGAGGGCACCACAGGCTCATTCACCATTAGACCCAAAGGATGAGGCACCACAGCCAAGCCAGAGACGCAGATACACGTATACCTCATGCCTAACAAGCAACTGATCATCTCTTAAAAAATCAAACTGACAAAGGACAAATAAATTAATCTCTTGTTCCTCAATTTTCTCATCTGTAAAAAGAGAAATAACTGAATTAGAAAGAAAGCTTTCTTCCAGCATTGTTCCTTGGCAACATACAAATTCTCCTACATTTTAGCCAAATAATTATGAGTATGCACATTTCTAACTAGAGTGTACCATGGCTTACAGTCCAGGTCTAGGTTTGGTGTCTAACTATTCCTAAGAAATACCAACAACAAAAAACTGTTAGAAAATATGATCCAAATTCATACTAAATCAATATTTAGTAAATGGCCATTTCCTTACAGGACCTTTTTTTTTTGAAAGAGCATGGGGTAAAATGCAAAATAAGCCTGAAGTAAGCTTGAGCAGGTAAGCACTGCCTTCTCAATCTGAGTGGTGTTCTTTTCTGCTTGCACTTTGTTTTGAATGACACTGGCTTTCTCAGTCACTTACCAGCTTAGGTGACAAAATGTAGGGAAGCAGAATAAAAACACTTTGTCCCCAAACACAGAATCTATTAGTCTGACTTCACAGAAGCCATAAAAAATGTTTTGTAGGGCTTTTCCCTTTATTAATAACTCATTTCAATTACCAACATTAAAATAATAAGGTAAGTATCACTACTATTTCATACCGAGTACTTCACTTCTAGAAAGCTCAAATGATGTCAAATTCTTGTAAGCAGACTCTATGTGCCAAGTATTTAAAATCAAACAACACCAACCACACAAAATGGGTATGTTAAATGCTAGGATTGCTTTCTAGTGAAGAAAGTGGTAGGAATGATTCTCTTGATGTATATCTGGAAAAAACATTAAGTTAGGCAATTTCCCCAAAGCCACTGGATGGACTTTTGAATCCTTGATCATGACTAATCTTTTTATCTACAATGGCAATTCAAATGAAATAGCTTATATTTGATAGGAGGTATACTTAAAACAGAATGGCTTATAGTCTTCTTCTATATACAGTTCCTATTCCCCACGTAGGGGCTGGGCTTGTTCAGGTTTTTGCAGTTTATGGCAAATGTATTAACTATATAAGAAGTCTTTAACTGCACATATTTCTTAAGAAGGATAAATTGAAGGCCATTTTACTTGATTTTAGTTAGCCACCCATTTCTAACAAAAAACAGAGGCATATTAGGTGAGGGTTAGGTAAATAAAGTTAGCATCCTGAAGCACAGACAACTCCTTAGGAAGGCTCCCTGTGTCCCCTCCAAGGACAGAACACCAACTTCTCAGCTCATTACTGTTTCTTTCACTGAGTCCTAAATGACGCCATCTACACAGTGGGGCCATGCTGCATTCAGAAAGCTACATTTTCACATGCTTACAGGAACCCAAAACCCTGTGGACTCTTGTCACCTGCCACTAGGGTACATACTCATTGGGTTAAATGGTGGGCAAAACCGTTTACACTTCTTGAAAAAACATTTAACAGCCATCTCTTCTTCCTTTTTTCTGAATGCGTATAGATGATTTTGTTAATTTAAAACTGCATGTGAAGTGACTCCCTTGTAAATCTATTTTTATCATGTTGAGCTGAACACATAAGGTATAAATATCAGTATAAACACTTACTGCTCTCCAAGGACAGTGCCTGAAACATATAGCAATGGACACTCAGCCAATCCGATGAATTCCTTTAATCACATTAACTTGTAATTTAAAAAATCTTTCCAGGATCAGTGAAATTTCTCATAGAAATTTCTATAATTTCTTAGAAAAATCCATGATAGTTGTGTCACAAAAATTTTAAGCATAGAGATAAGAGGTTTAAATAAACTCTGAAGTGTATTGCTGTCCTATGAACTTCTACTACAAGGTTGCCTTGTGTAGAGTACTTTAAAAAGTGGTCCTTGTAGCTCATTGTGTGCACGGGGGTAAGGGAGGTGAGCTGAAACGGTGGTAGTCAAGTTCCTTCTGAGACCACTTTGCAGATTGCCTTGGATGAGGAACATCCACAGAGGTAGGATCATATCAACAATGAAAATAAAGCATATCATTTTCCTCCATGATGCCCTTATATTTATTTGCCCGCAGCCCCAGATATGAGTAAAAGAAAGTTCTTACAATGTAGATTAACAGCTGCCTGGGTCCAAACTCTTCCCTTTCCTTTCTACCTTTAGTGTACTTGAGCAGATAAAACTACACTTTAAACCTCTTGCAACAGAAAAATAACTATCACAGTTCACTTGGGGCTATAATGACAGGATTTGTGATTCTTCCTTTGTGACCTACTCTTGCGTCCAAGACGATGGGTTTAAAATACATCTAATGTTATATGTCATTAGACAAATAATGTTAAAATATATTTGGATGGTTTAAATCCACTCATCATTAAAAAAAAACAATTAGAAAAATTTAAATCTATTATTTTCCTTGATTTATTTTTTAAAAAGCATGATTTTCAAATTCTAATCTTTGCCATGTTAAGAGTTGACTAAATTCAACTGTGGATCAGTCTAGCTCTGGCCAGTAACTAAGCACTTTCATTTATTTGTCTTAAGAAAGCTATGCAGGAGCTTCTTGGTACTATATTCAAAAGGAATTGGTTCTTTGGAGACCCAGAACTCTGGACACTCTCTGAAACCATTCAGCTTACCATCAGAAAAATGCATTATGAAATTTTCCCCACCAGAGATAGTATTGTGTTGCTTGTGTTTATTTCTAGTCAATTTTTGGAGTACATATTTAACATTAATGGCCTTCATTTTACTTTAATGTTCTTCAAGGAGGTAAAGTTCAGAAAGTCTGTACCTCTTCTGTTGTTTAGCAATAAAATTTGATGACGATGACATTTCCTTCTGGAGCCATGTAAGTTCTGGAAGGGATGGACTTGATCACATTAAGTTTCTGATCAAACGTTTCCTCCCTTAAAATTTCGAAAGCATTAATTTTCATCAAAAGTTCTTCTAGTCCCTATCCACTTTGCTAGGCATGATTTCTTCACAAGACAAAAAGATTAATGCCTTCCTTTAAAATGCTTTGCCAAGATACTTCAAAGTTTTGCTTAGGCATCTATTCGAATGCTCAAATTAGCCACATCAATTTGAATAGTTAGTTTAAACTATTTCAGGCAGAAAATGAGTCAGAAAGATTCTTACAAGAGTTCTACAAAATGAAAATTGGACTTGATTTCTTTAATTTTTCATTTTTCTGGTTTTATGAATTTTTCATGTGTCAAATCAACTTGTTCTCCGGAGGAACTATATAGAGCACATGCATTTTAATAACATAAGTATTTTAATAAATTACAAGACACTTTAAAAAATTTTAAATAAAAAGTGTAATTTTCCCACATTTTCCTAACATAAAATTGTTAAAAAACGAGAAGACAATTCTACTCCATCTGGAGGGAAACTGTCAGGACACTACCAGTTTAAAATATGGTTTGCCTTTCTATTGAAGCCAAATAACAAGAAGAAATTCTTTTTTGGAATATTTATAAATCTTAAGGATAAACGGCCCAGTAGCATTAGGAAGAACAGAAGAGTATCCTCTGGTTAGGTATCAGCATGTTCCATGGTGTACACAGGTACATAACTAAAGTCGGTAAACATATCGGAAATTTTTCTGTCATTGTTTCCTGTTAGTTACAAAACACTGTGGAAACAAATGTTTAAATACTCTCCTGGTAAAGCCTGCTATTTTAGGTATAATAGTGTCATCGAAGTACTTCCTGTCCTTAATAAGTCAGTGATGGGTTAAACACACACTCAGTTAATGGCTCTTTTCTGAGTCAAAATTTTTAACAGGACAGTTAACTGCAACTCAGGCTCCCTAACAGTTTATCTTACTAAATAAAAAACCTGTTGTAGTCCCTTGAAATGAAAGAAAAGTCTTCAGTGAACATGTTTAGCAGCTAATAGTAGACACAATCTGTTTTGGAGACAGAGAAGGAAAGCAGAAGGTAAGAGAATCAGCTTTTTTCTTGAAGTAAATCATTCTAACTTTGATCTAAATTTAGGTAATGCATTCTTCCTGTGGTAACTTTTCAAGTTGCAATGTTTTTGATGTTAAAATTGCTCTGAAGCAGTATTTTTTTGGTTAAGTTTTAAATGGGAGTGGATTGAGCACGAGACCAGGGACAACTGGGTTTCATTAAGAAAAAAAAATACCATCTATGCATGTGTTGTACACACTGCTTTTCGGTCCACCCAAAGTAACAGACTTGTGCAGATTACACTCTGGGCCTTATGTTCCCTAGGTGAGACAATTTTAGTTAGGAAAATGTTTCTCCTAAACAATTAGAAACTGCAAGGGACTCAAGGACTTAAAAGAACAAAACAAAATGAAACCCTTCTTTTTTTTTGGTCAGTTTCTTGTCTGAAGTTAATGTAATCATATATCTAAATATAGAAATGCCAGTGTCCCCCCTTCTCTGGCCTTCTCAGTCCCTAGGGCCTCAGGCCTGGGATAGAAATACATTTTGCTTATGGAGGGAAGGGCAGCCCCTTATAGCCATTAAGCTAAGGTGGACCTGATGAGTCACCATCTTGCCCTGTGGCATGTGCCAAGAGACCTGAGTGACAGTATCTGTGCTTGCCACTCTGAAGTACCAGTAGTGCTGTGTATTCTAATCTAGAAAACCTCACAGGATTAAAACATTTACAGTGGCCAATATGGTTTACACTGTAGTTTATCCAGTAACTTTCTGCTAAGACCCCAGTTTCCCCCATCTGATGACTTTACGGCATTACAGAATAGCTGTTATATAGAATCTGCACTAACACCTAAGTTTAAGGATTGATTACCAAAGATTTGTGTATAATTAGGCTGTTCCCTTGTGAAGGACACAAAGGCTCAACAAATCCTATTTGCCTTATAGGAATGCTAGCAGCTGTCAAAGTGAAAGAAATAAAGGAAGCTCAGCACTTAGAACCAAGGATGGAGCCCAGCTAAAAGAACAAGTATGGCCTTAGCTTTCCCGATTTCTGCTTTCAATCTAGGCCTGCCTCTGGGTCAGCCTCTGCTGCCTCAGGAGAGTTCAAGGTTACAGCCAGGGGGCAACCCTCTCTCCTCTCTCCACTCAAACACTTAGCCCCTGAACACAGCAACACCTAAAATACCCACTTTCAAAACAGGTTTCAAGGACAAATTAGTGAACCATAAGTAGAAAGTACTATGAAGCTTCTTAGCCAATCATGACTTCAAAGATCTGAAGCGCAGGGCAGTACCAGGGATTGGAGGGAGCCTTGACAGTGTGGGGTGAAGTCCTGGATCACCCAAGCCAGGCACTGAATCCCCAAGGAGATACCTATGCCAAGCATTCTATCAATCATAACTCAGATTTTTTAAATAAAGAAAAATGTTAACTAGTTCACAGTTTCCTTGTGATGTCATTAATTGCTTAAAGAATTTTCAAGAATGTTTCTGATTAATTATCACTTTAGCTGTCCTGGATTTTTTCAGGGAATTAATTGTTCAGATAAGAACAACAGATCATGCACACTACTATTTTAGTTGGATTTATATATGATGGCTCAGATGCACTAACATCAAGTCAAACTTAATTCTATCCATTTCCCCTCAAATACTTTTCATATTGATGCCTTAAATTCTTAAGCATTAATCGTAAGTTTTGGTCAAGAATAAAGAGAGGTACAATCTTTATTAGGTTTGAAAAGCAGTCAACCTCTGATCTTAAAAAGAGAGAAAGGTAAATAAATAATTTAATTCTGCCCTGACAAACCCCAGTATGGAGGAAGTGATTATCTCCAATTTAGGCATCTTCTATTGACAGGGGTCAGCCAACTACAGCTGGCTTGCGGGCTAACTCCTGTCCACCACCTGTTTTTGTATGGCCCATGAACCAAGAAAGGATTTATATTTTTAAAAAACTGAAAACAAATCAAGAGGAGAGTATTTTATGACACACGAAAATTATATAAAATTCAAGTATCAGTATCTTAAGTAGTGTTTTTGGAACACTACATAGTTTACATAGTGCCTATGTCTGGTTTTGAACTACAACGGCAGAATCAAACAGTTGTGGCAGAGACTCAAAATGGTTGGCAGAGCCAAAAATATTAACCATGTGGCCCTTCACAAAAAAAAAAAAGGCCAGCTGACCCCTGTTCTATAAAATTGTCACTCTTCACTAGCTTTAGTGATAATCAACGCTGTTTCAAAGTAAGAACAAAGGAGAAGGCTTATTTTTACCTAATCACCTGAAGCCTCCAAATGGTCCTGTGGAGAGAATGCTTGTGCATATGGATTAGTTCGTGGGGAGAACACGTTGAGAAACTTACCTGCTCACCAGGCTCAAAGCTTGTCTCCTCCTTCTCAGTTTTCATAGCTATTAGTTTTGTGTTATTGACAGGGTCGGTCTTACTGTCCAGTCGCTCTAGTTTGGGGGTTATTTCTGGTAAACCAATATCTTTAGTATCATCTTTATCTAGCAAGTAGCGAAGTAGTGCATTCTCTTTCTTCTTGGGGCTCACTGGCTCTTGTTTAATAGTCACTTCTGAACCAGGAGCTGTGCTATTGGCCTCCTGGCTCAGCTCTTTGCCTGTGGCTTCTGCTGTTAACTTAGCCAAGTCCACAGGGGAACTGCTGTCCTGCAAGAGTCTGTGCAAAATCTTATGCTTCTCCTTGAGCGAGGTTCCATGTGCTGACCCAGGACCAGGCAAGCTCCCTGTGGAGTCCTTGTTTGAGTCCGACAGAGAGCTGGATAAAGGTGAAGGCTCCAGCTGGTCAGATTTGGTGGTCAACAGCTGCAGGAGTTTGGTCTGTCCTTTGCTGTCATGCAGTCTATTCTGTCCATCAGACCTGTCACTGCTCACAGCCTGGGGCACGTTGGGATCATTTGCTTCTTTTTGCTCTCCAGGATGGCAGCTGCTCTCTGCTTGTCCAGTTGTACCTTCAGATGGCTCCCCATAAAGTCCAAAACAGTCTTTGGAGTCTAAGCTTCCCATCTTGCTGAGTGGAGGAGGATTCATATTAACTGGGGAGTTTTGCAAATTGCCCATTTTTAGGTCTGGTGAAGCCAATGATGACCCCAATGAGACCCCGTGCCCCTCACTGAGGGCCTGAAGTGCATTGAGGGAACTGTTGGTGTAGCTATGGCTATTTCCTGTGCTGCTGCAGACTCCCACAGGGGAATGCAAGCTTCCTGCAGGGGAAAACTGGCTGGGTGGGATTCGAGGGCTTCCAGCGACTCCAGGGCTCATGCGATGCCTTGGTGAAAGCATGGAGTTGGGCTGGCCTGGATTCATGCCAGGGCTGCTTTGTGAGGGACTGTTCATTTTGAGTGCATAGTTACTACCCTGAGGAGTGCTTGCTTGCATGCTTGACACATGGTTCATTCCCCCAGAACCACCAAACCTGCCCATGGGCATGCCCATTTGTTCCTTAGGGCCATTGATGGGAAAGTTTATATTGCTATTTAGGGTCATGTCCTGACCTGGGTTCCCACTGCACATGGCCTGATGGGCAGGGCTGCTTGAGCTAATTGGATTCAATGGCTTCCCCATTGTTTGTCCAGTCAGATCTGGATTCATTACACACACATTCTGCTCTCTGTATAGTGAGGAAAGAAATATAAAAGGAAAAATACTTAACAAGTTGTTTTTTTAAAAATTAAGGTATTTGATATACACTCTGATGAAGGTTTCACATGAAAAATAATGTGGTTACTACGTTCACCCATATTATTGAGTCTCCCTCCATACCCTACTGCAGTCACTGTCCATGTAGTAAGATGCCAGTCACTACTTGTTTTCTCTGTGCTACACTGTCTTTCCCATGACCACTCCCACACCATGTGCACTAATCATAATACCCCTCAATCCCCTTCTCCCTCCCTCCCCACTTTCCCTTCCCCCACCCCTCCCCTTTGGTAACCGCTAGTCCCTTCTTGGAGTTTGTGAGTCGGCTGCTGTTTTGTTCCTTCAGTTTCAGCAAGTTGTTCTTAATTGTACAAAACAACATGGCTTCTTTTGTTTAAAAGAATGTACTACAACTAAAGATAATACCTTGATGAAACAATCTGCAATTATGGACAAGACTGAACATGTACAGTTTTGGAGCAAGAGGCATGCTTTTCAGTCAACTCATTAAGATGTCTGCGGCTTTTGAGGGGGTATGTTTAGATTTGACTACTACCATACTGAAATGTTCGTTAACAGACATTAGATATAATACATCTTTCTCACTAAATGGTATATTAACAACTGAAAGCTTGTGGCATCTTAAAGAAATGACCCAGAAGAGCAGAGCTGTCTTCAATTAGCTAGACACTACAATTCCTAACAACAGACACATCTGTAAGCTCAGAGAGCTATGATGTGTACTACTTGGCTCAAGGAGAACAGCAAACTTTGGGGGAAAAACTTGCCCCTGTTAGAAACTCTGCAAGATCTATAGGCAATTAAGTTACCAAAACTGTTTAGAATTAGATCACCTTGTCTGACAGATGCCCCCATCTGCGTCCCCTTGCCAAGTCCAAGCAAGAGCCTCCAAGACAGACAGCATGGGCCAGAACTTGAGAGTGACCTTAATCTGTGATCTAATTCTCCAGCTTCTAGACAACTCCAATCCAGTCCCTTGCGAGCGACTGAAAGCAGGCTAATGGAGCTCAGTGACTTTCTAAGCCCTACGAGCTTTAACTCACAGCCTTGGCAGTCGCCTGGGAGTTGCCACATGTGTTCACAAATCCAAACAAAACAGGTTTCACAAATTGTCAAACATCAGTTTTCAGTTAGGGGGGTGAGATCTGGCACATCTGTAATCACTTCCAAATGGTTTCAGTATGAGGTCAGATTTATTAACAGTTGGCAAACAGGGCTGCCTGATTGTTTTTATCCCTAAATAAGAAGTAAATAATTGAGAAATATAATAAAAGGGGACTTTTTAACCAGAGTAACTTTATATATTTTCTGATAGTACCTCATAAAGTTTTATATAGCTCATACATAAATATGTAACTTGAAATATAATCATTTTCCTAAGTTTATGCTTTAAAACAATATAGTTTGGGACACTTATTTTTAAATTAACAATTTTCTTTACTTGTATTTTTATGGAGATGATTATTACACTTCAATTTAAAGTCTAATGCCAAAAAGTTGATTTAAACGTGAGAATAAAAATCTAAAACAGTCTAAGTATATATATTTGAAAGTTTCAGATATCAACACAGAAGAGCAGAAACCATGCTAAGAGCTTCACTATTCCTGTCCTGCTGTGTCATTATGGGGAACTTACCCATTTCCTTTCTCCGATGTAACAGGCCTGTCATGCCAGGGCAAAGTGGGTGCTACCTGTGTTCCTCCAGCTGGGTCTCAAATTCACTAGTATTAAGGCTAAAATTCAAAATGCACACTCTACTTTGCTGGTACCATGAGCTGTCTTTTAGTCAACAGTTAATAGCAATTTCACTTTATAGTTTACATGCCAGGGATTGACCAACACAATGTCTAACAAACCTCCAAAGCTCTAGGATGATTTGTTGCTTTTGAAGTATTTCCTCTTAACCTGGGAAGGGAAAATGATTTCTTAGAACTAGGATTACCTGTGAAGCATATGTAAAGATATTACAAGCTGAGGTTCATTAGTAGTCTGAGAACGGATGAGTTTGCTCTTTGTTTGCGCAGCAACAAGAGTGCCATCAGACAAGGAAAACCGGTAAATCTGACTGAATGCCAATCCTTGTCTCAGCACTGCAGGCAAGCAAGGAAACAGAAAGCAATTTTAGGAAAAAAAATCAGGAGGCGGCGATGGGACAAGACATAACAATAGCAATAAACTTCAATAAGTTTAATAGTTTCCACCTGGCATATTAAAGAGTTACTTTATAAGTACTATCTGATGATGTTATACATTTTAAAAGCATGTTTGCTTTTCACTCCAAATACCAATAAATTCACTATCTTTGTTTTTTTAAAAATGAAGCTTAGACTCTCAAACTATGTTCTTTTCAAAATCTTCAGTACCGTGGGCAAATTAGAGTATAAACAATTTATTAGCTCAAAACACGCTTAACAATGATTTTTTCAAAGTGTTAGAAAATAAATGCACTTGATACCTCTAAAGGGTACAATTTGCCTTTAATTTCTCTTTGACCTAATACATGTATTACAGTAAAATTTATGACATTGAATGTATTTTCAGAATATTTATCTTTGGGTTATGTACTGTTCAACTGATCATCTCACACTACTTCCTGTTCCCCAATTCTGTTTCTCAGTGTGTAAAGATTATTTCTGAAGTTAGGACAACAAGAAGTAAAAGTCAGAGGAATCTTTTCAGAGAAAAAAAAGGTTAAATAGAAAATGGAAACAATACAAGAGCAAATTTTAGTGACATGGAGTTGGTTTAATTTCTCAATGAAGAATCAGGTGTTTCCATTTTCAAGACAACAGCAGCAAATGTAAGACAAATCAACTAGATTAAAATAATCTGTCTAAAAATAAAATTTCAGATTTTATTTTAAAACTGTCAACTACTGCATATTAAAAAAGAACATTATGGTTCAGAAAAAAAAAGTAGCCACATAATTTAGTTACCTCTTAAACCATTTTAAGAAGAACACCGTGTTTTTACCACAAAATTTTCAGCACAAATTTTGTGGGTTAGCCCCAAATCCACTGAGCAGACTCACCATTCCACAAAACTGCAAAAAGGCAGTGGGGAGACGGGAAAGAGGAGGGAGGGAAGTTGCTGACACACAATGTGGATTCTGATTTCTTAGTAAAATTTCACTTTGAGCAATTTCCCTAATGAAATCCCCTTCACAGTTTCAGTTACATGCAGCTTTTAGGCATTACTTTCTGTTGCATGAAGTTACTCTGAAGAGGCATATGTACAATGGATTATGTACATCTTGCTTTGCACAATAAATATGTTCCTAATAGGTAGCATAAATATACAACTTTTATAATAGGGTTCCTATTCCAAAGAGCTTGTAATTTCAGAATTTTATCTGACCTTAAGGTTTTCTATTTCCAGTTGGTCTACATCAAACATCTCTACTCAGTAGATACGTGTAAGCATGCAACAGAATGCATTTAGTAAGCTTCTCAATTTAAACAAAAATGTCTAGTAGATATTTAGTCAATGCAAATGATTATACTTGATCTTAACCTCTTTCATACATTTTGTTGAAATGTATTTCACACGTTTTGGAGTTTCCTTTCAGTGGGTCCCATCTCTTTAAACCTAGCACAGTGCCTGATACATCTCTATAAACCCTTTTTGTAAGAAATCAGGAAACTATAGAATTAAATGTAGGACATTGCTACTCAGGGTCCAGGGACACTGAACACGTTTGCCATGGTGATTTCTTATTCTTTGTTGTTGCTATTCTTTTTTTATTTTAAACCAGATCTAGTGAAACAGTAGGTTAAATATTGATTTCTGTCAAATGTAGCATCTTTATTTTCTCTTATTCTTTCCAACTTAAAGAAAAATGCTAAAAGATACAGATTGTTGGATTATGTGCTTATTTCTAAGAAATAAGGATAAGAAAGATTAAAAGGAGGAATAAAAGGAGGGAAAAGTCAGGGAACTGGGAGAGAGGTCATTTACTATGATTTTTACTTTTTCATCAGTGATCTGAAAGCATAAAATCTAAATTAACACTGGTATAAAGTACTGGTAAAATGGCAAGGTCACGGGTGCACATTAAAAGGAAGAGGACAAACTAAAACCCTGTTTTCAATGATGTGTTACAAATTTCTTCTGCAATGATGTAGACAGTTTGCCAAATGGAGTTGTGAGGCACCCTGCACTGCCCCGGGCCCTTACAGGCAGCCTGGCCCCTGGATGGCCATTCTGTGGAATCTCCTACCAGGTGTCCCTTGCCAGGACACAGAGCACCATGGTAGGAGAATCCAGCAACTAGAAGGAAAAGTGTCTCCTTCCCCCACTTAATAATTAAGTGGGGAGAAAAGGAATTTCTTCTTTTTTCTTGACAATTTAACAAAAAACCCCAGAACACACTTGAGGAAATGTGACCGTGGAAAGAACTCTGGGAGCAGCATGTAGAGTGACTGCCAGGATGGGCCTCAGGTTCACCTGCTTCGGCCTCCCCACCTACAGCGTGAGAGTCCTAAAGCCTACTTCACAGGCCACTGTGAGGATCTGCGAGGTCAAAACACGTCAGAGGGACAACGCCAGACAAAGACCTGAGGGCTGCTGTTCTTACTGAAATATGACTGTGACGTCTTGGATTTAGTTTCAGCTGCCCCACTATTATTTATGTGACCTCAGACATGTCCCTTCATCTCTTTGGGCCTTCCTGTGGTATCTACGCCTCTTACCAAGTGTCCAAGACATGTACCTTCATCTCTTTGGGGCCTTCCTGTGGAATCTACGCCTCTTACCAAGTCTTACCAGAAACATCTGGGCAGTCTTCAGTGGTCATCACCTTGGAGGGTGGGCTTAGGATCTCACTATCACCTCTATCAGGAATTCACTTGCTCTTGCAAATTTCATTTCACTCTTATTTCCAGATTTTCCTTATGATTCAGAGACTATTTCTTTTGATATCAGATAGTGCCTTCCTGTGGTGTTTCATACATCTAGAAGCCTTAGTATCAAAGAAAGTGACCTCTCCCTTTCCTTTCACCTGTCTTTCTGGAATTACCTCCTCTTCGTTCCTGCATCACGTTCTTGTGCCTTACCAGTTCTCCCATTAAACATTTCTTCAGATGGCAACATCTTCTGGGCCAAATGATGGATGTACAGATGAACACAAAAAGTCAACAGATATCCAAGTCCCCTGAGGGGAGCTTCAGGAGTCACTGTTACAGAGAAACCTCCCACAGGGAGCAGTAACTGAGCAGAACCAATTTCAAGGAAAATATCATTTAGAGATGCTTACCTTCATGATGATGCCTCTTAGCATAGGACACAGATTCACCCTCATGCTGTGCATGGAACTTCTGAATGCACCTTCTCACCAGGTCCTCCCAGCCTGGTTTCATGGCTGCCCTCATGGTGCTGGTATCCAGTGATGTGATCTTGCCTATTAAGTATCAGCAAGCATTATACTTACATACCAATCTATTATTTATACAAATAATGAAATTTTAAAAAGATAACACTTATTTATTTAGAATAGATGGCACAAGTGCATGGACCAAAGGGGGGAGACAATAAAACTCAGCGCCCCACCTCTCCTGGGCTCCAGCCCTCTGCACCCCCATTGCCACCACAGGCACTAGAGTAGTTCTTCACGGTCTTCCAAACATATTCCTCGCACTGACAAATACATAAGTATCCTGAAGTTATTTCTCTGGTCTTCTTGCAAAGCAAACTTACCTTGGAGATCCTGGCGAGTAGTGAAGCTTTCTGACGAGGGAAGAACTGGTCTTTCCTTCATGGGAACCCTTCTTGCCACACAGATCAAGCAGGACTGCAAATCTTCAATCATATATAGTGACAGTTACCATATTAGGCTTTTTTAGCAATTCAAACAAACTCAAATGTACCTATGGTAGCAGAACCTTGCAAATCAGTAACAGCGCGAGTGACAAAACACCATGCACCTTTGCTTCTCACTGGCTTCAGTCTGTCCTAAACTGAAGTGGGAAGCAGCTGGGGGAGAAGGCTGTGCTGCACTGCCTGAGCTGGGGCTGAGGATAAACTGCTGAGCCACATGGCATGTGATGGAAGTATATCCACCATGGTAGAGGTAACAATCTGAAACCATCTCCCCAGGGACGGAAAAGAATGTAATCCTTTCTTACTAAATGGCCAAAAGCAACCACCAGTTCAATTCACAAGGAAGTACAAAGATGAAAACTAAAATCTGATCTTCTGCTTTGTCTAGGGTTTGCTTTATGTATTTTCAGTTCACCAAGATAGAAGAAAACTAGATACCTTCTACCAACCTGTGTAAATACCCCTACAAAGGCAATATGCAACTGAAGATGGAGAATATAAACTGAGCCTAGACCCAAATTCAGATGACATATCCTAGGAAAGGTAGCGTTTGCCAAAGCAGCTGCCTTATAGCTTAGAATTGGCCATGGCTAGTGTCTCACGTAGCCAATGCTAATAAGCATTTATTCCTCATCCCATTGCAATTACTTTATTCATCTGTATTCACTTCTGGAGAACAGGGAAATGTTTTATTTATCTTTGTAACATGTAGTGCACATTGCATGGCCCTTTTAATTTAAAAAATGCTGGCTAAAAAAATTGTCTCCTCATATCTTATGTCATTGATTTATGAGTGTTTACTTTTAAAGTTCTTTAAACATATCCAGTAATAAATAGTATCACAAAATTAAATGTAATCCTCATTCTCAAAATAGTAAGAGCTAAATTTTTGAGTACTTACTATAAGACAGACATCCTTTTAGCTGCTTTATAGTCTCCCAATTCATTTAATCCTCTTAGCAATGCTCTGAGGAACCACTTAACAGAGTAAAAGACTAAAGTTTGAGTAAGTTGCCCAATATCACACAAAACTGGTGAAGCCAGGATTTGAATCTCAGTACACTATGGCTCAGAAGCCTTACTCTCATGCTATAGCATGTTAACATCCAGAATCAAATTTTAAATATACAAAAAATGTTTAAGTATACGGCACAAAATCATAAATTAGCTCAGCCATCATTTTTTATATTGCTTTACAATTTTATCAGGGATGGATGATTTAGCAGCACTTACTCTATTGCAGAAGAGGGAAAAATCACTTGACATTCCATTCCTATATAAAATCTAACTTGAAAAACTGTCATCTATGACAATTCTATTACTTTCTTTCCAACAAAATTTAAATAAAAGAATTATTTATTTGTTATAAAAATGGATTCCTGCTGTACATATACCATATTTTTCACATGTGAATTTTTTATATCAATACATATACTTCTTTAACATAAAAAAATTACATATTTTTTAAGAAAATGATTAAATAACTACAGATCTTCATAATGGTATTATATCCCAATAAATCCACCATAAACTAAAAATATCATTAAGTCAAAAATGCATATAATAAACCTAACCTATTGAATTTCGTTGCTTAGCCTTGCTTACCTTAAATGGACTCAGAACTTCCACCTTTAATTGGGCAAAGTCATCTAACATAAAGTTATTTTATAATAAAGTGTTGATAACCTCACGTGATTTATTGAATATTGTTCTGAAAATGAACAGAATGGTTGCATGGGTGCAGAATGGTGGTAAATGTATTGATTGTTACCCTCATGATGGCGTGGTTGACCAGGAGCTGTGGCTGCCCAGCACCAGGAGAGATGATATGCCAGAAGTCTGCAGCCCAGGAAGAGATCACAAATCAAAATCTGAATTTCAATTTCAACTGAATATGCACCACCATAAGTCAGGGCATTTCTGTAGTATTAATGCCAGTCATGGTTCAGGCACATTCATTCCATCCTTATATTCTGATACTTGTACTCTTGCCTTTTAGAGTTAACTAATATTCAGAGAGATCAAGGTGCTTGCCCAAAGTCGAAGAGCAGGGAGGTGGCTGAATTAGGAACTGGCCTGTCTGATTATAAAGCCTACAGTGTTTCTACTCACCAGTGGTCCTCAGCTTTACCCTGTCTGCTACAGATGCAGAATGCACTCTTCAGTATTGTCTCATACTGCAGCAAGTGACACTTCAGTGTGGGCTGGCTTGCTTGGGGTGAAGGGGGTGGGCACTACATCAGCATCTCTTTAAGAGGCAGAGAGCCTAAGAGCTTGTAGTTTGAAAACCTTTCTATTCCCCACTCTCATCTCTATTCTCTCCCAAGTATTATTCTAGTACCATATTCTGGACCCAGCATACATGGATAAACTATATGGAATCCATTTATTCCTTGAAAGTATATGAAAAATGTTGTTTGTTTCCATGTGCATTTCTCTAGGGTTGTGGCTCTTAGCTTGCAGTAGCTGTTCAGAGGAGCCTAGGATCCCTGAGGTCAATCACTAAATGAGCTGCGATAGTGGGGTAGCAACTAGCCACATGTGACCATTTAAATGTAAATTTAATCAAATAGAAACTTTGGTCCCTCAGTTACATTGTTGAAATTTCAAATGCTCAATAGGCACATGTAGCTTGTGACTGCTGCATTTTTGGACATTGAAAATATGTAACAATGCCATCACCACAGAAAACTCCACTGGATAGCACTAAAGACTGAAAAATTGAATTTGTCACAAATATTGTTGAATAGGTGAAAAGAACACAGGAACTGCCTCTAAAGTTTTCTTCATGTGGTCACTTACTTTAGATTAAGAGTGAAAGAAGCAGCACAGAAATAAATACATAGATATATAAAATATCCTAGAGATGCCCTACCTTCTCCTTCTTCTTTGATGGACTTTGGTTGAGAAACAGCAAAACACTGCATAGTTTCGTACTTCTGATGTGCTTCCTGGTTATCATGACCTTCCTCTTCTGAATCAGGTAAAGGTTTTACCAGCATCCGACAATTGAAGGTATGGCTGTTCCGCCTAGGAGGTTCTCCAGACCAAGATCCCCCATTCACTGAGTAAGGCAAAAGTAATCCAGTATGAAAAAGAAACTGACATCAGACTCACTGCTGTGGAATTATCAAAACGATGTAGGAAACATATGATCACTTTACCTTTCTATAGCACTTATACATTTCTAAATAATTTCATAATCTGGAGGGGAAACGTTCTTGGCTTAATGTTCTAACAATGTGGGAATTTCTTGGGATTTTCACAATGTCTTTTACACTTCTTAATCTTCACCCTGACTCACTCCCTTCAAGTTCAGGCCTTAAATATTTATTATTAGAATACCACAGTTCGCTATATTCAGTTTTCCCTAACTTTGGTTTCTTGGAAATTTAGTTCAATCTACTTGCAGTCCAGTTTTAGGTATCTACCTGCCCCCCATGCTCAAAAATCTGGAAGTGGCATCAACTGTAGCATGCATTAAATTCTTTAGAAAAGGATTTAAACTTGATGTAGCAGAAGTATGAAGTCCATTTGAACTGATAAATCAAAATCCCACTAACCAGCCCCATCTTATCCATGTAACCAGATCTTTCCTATTGCCCAGCACAAGCCTTCCCCACCACCCTCTATACCCAGTTCCCATAGATTACCTTTGCTCCAGCCACCGTATCTAAAAGTCAGACTGCCTCTACTTCTATTCACATTACTCCTGCTCTAAAGTTGAGATCCTCCATGTGTTTAACCAACTACACTAGGAACCTCACACTACCTCGTCTTGCAGATTTTTCCCTTCTGAAATCTTACAGAAATTTCAGTGTATATTCTATAACTTGGCTGTTGCTGAAATACTCTATTGTAGTCGTTTCTGTCTCATGTATATTTCCTCAGTAAGACTGAAAAATCCCTGAGGATACATTGCCAATGTCACTTATTTCTTTTCACGTGGAAAAACTCCATCATACGTCTTCTCTCTTTTAGTATAAATACTCAGACATGTATATATTAATTCAAGAAAGAGACAATAAAAGAGAAGAAAGATCATTTTGGGGGGTGATGCATTAGAGAAATAAATGAAAGAAATAAAAGGATGACTGATTCTGAGAAGTGCAGGGCGTTTAATGATCACCAGATCAATGTCCTCATTCTGCAGGTGAGAAAACTCATGTCTAAAGAAATGTTCGGGTGAGAGCTAAAGGAGCTGGAAACAGAACCTATCCTAATTCCCATTTTTGTCTGCTTTTCTTCACTGTTCCTATGCTTTATCTAAAATATATTAGGACTGGTAGGATAATGAAAGAGGGGATCCGAAAAAGGGCCAGTCATAAGATAAGCTGATGAACATTCTCAAAAGTCACTAGGTAGAAAAAGCACAGAAACACGGAAGGTATCATGGTGAATGCAGGGCTCAACCCACAGCCACTGGCTGTAGAGGAATATAAAAGGAAACAAACCCTAGAAAGAAAAAGGAATGCTAAGTTAACTATAAGAAACTGCTTTAGAATTATAGAAGGAATTGTAGCTAGCTTTACATTCCATGCAGACTTTGGGGAAGTTTACTGCACTATCAGCATTCTTAAAAGCGTATTTACATAATGGAGACTTCAAAGAGTAATCAAGAAGAAAGAAAATAGAGTTCTTATTAACATAGGTTAATAAGTAATTTGAAAGTATAAAGAAGTACAATTTAAAGTAAAGCAAAGAGCTCTTCAGACAAGTGAATTAATATATTAATAGCAAACTAATAAGTATAGGTCCTTTGAGGACATCATAAAATTAATAGAGATTTGAAAATATTAGTTACTTGAAATAAAAAATCCCATTTTCTTGTTCATTTACTAGAGAATATAATAAAAGAACCTTGCACAGGCATTCATGTATTTTCTATTACTATTGCAGTCACTTTGAAAAAAGGGTTATCTCTAATTTAGGAAAAACTAGCCATGTCAGAATTTGAAAGGCCCTTTTCTTACCATGGTGGTGACAATAAAACCAGCTAATATAAACAGTTTTAAGAAAAAGAATAGAAATACTTCCTAACTCTGGACTTGACCCTATTTTGTACTAAAAATATGCACTTCTTTTTATCGGTGAAGATGTTCTTAGCATCATCAGTTTAAGTGAGAAAATTAAAAAAAGAACCACTTCGTAAGTGGAAACAGTAATAGTCTAGAGCAGCAACTGAAGCGGGCCCACGCCGTGAATCCCCTACTTTAAAATACAGCTCTTAATAATCACATACACTTTTGGACAGCATCTCCAAGCTGAAGTCAGGAATCTGAAACAGGGAGAGTGGCTAGGGAGGCAGCACCTGATGATGAGACCTGCAGAGTCACTGGAGTCTGTGAAATGGAAGGACCCATTTAGGGTTCCCAGGCTGATAGCACTTGAACTTCTATAAGCCACTTGTTCCTTAACACTTTATTTTTAGAATGCTGTATACACCTGCATACACACTCATTTCACAAGCAGGACTCAAAATAAATTCAATCTCAGACTTCTCATGACTTTCTACTTCTTAGATGGTCATGGAGAAAAAACACAAAACAGAGTCAGCTGGTACTGCATCGGGTGGGAGGCAATCTGATGCCTTCTTAAAAAACAAAACAAACCCCGTGAAAATAGTGGCCATTTGAGTACTTTCCACCTGAATTATTTGCACGTTATTTAAACATAGGTTCAAAACGATCACTCATTCAAGAACAGTATCTGCAGATGCCTTTTTCTCCATGACTTCTAAGCTTAAACACTTCACACAAGCATCTCTAAATCACTTCCCAGTTACTCTTAGAACATGGTTCTACTTTACCCCTGCCAAGCAAGACAGTGTGGGGCCAGGGGGAAGAAGTAAGGGGAAACCCAGCAGATAATCATTTACCTATAGATTTTGGCAGCAGGTTTTTGACAAATTCAGTGTGGTCCCCAACATGCAGGATGCTATATACACTTTTGTTCATCAGCTCTTCTTGGTTATACCTTAAATACTGTGTCACATTCTCTGAAACAAACACAATGTTGCCTTCCAGGTTCACTACAAAGAAGAACCCATCAAGGGCCTAAGGGAAAAGGCACAAACTGTGTTAGAAAGGATGCAACATAAAATCATGTACAATTGCAATGACCCCTTTAAAGGAAACATAATTCGTACGTGGATAAAAAAGAGATCTCTCTCTCCCTCCTTCCCTAGTTTTCAGAAACAATTAACGCATTTTGTCTTGGCAAAATTACTTAAACTTAGTGGGAGAAAGCTAGATCAGGTTTCTTATCACAAACTCAATGACAAATACTAACTGTTAATTTCTCAGAATATAATAATTGCCAAGTAAAAATGTACAGGCATTTATCTGTGTTTTCAAGATGAGATTGGTGTATTCCACAGAACCAAAAACAACTTTCATGTTATCAATTGAACACAAAGTAATTTTGTTGTACGGTTTCTCATGAAATACAATGGTAGGGGTCATAGATAACTTTCCCTCAGTTTAAGGATAAATGCCAAGGAAAACCCAGAAAACTTTAACAGCTTTAAAGCTGCCAGGGTTTAAATGAAAAGAATTGCAGATAATCTCAGGCCTTTAAAGGTACATCAATCCTTTATTGTTTGATGTACAGGGGTAAAGGGTCTGGGAGATGTCTCTCCGATATGATGAGACCTTCATTGGGACCTCAAGCTGAGACGAGGCCAGCACTGTCCTGAGACTGGAAAGGGACTCTAGGTTTTGGTCTCTAACAGTGACAACTGCAAAGTTAATTAACTGCGCCCTCCTGTAGATCGTCAAGATGCCAGTCCCTAATCACCTCAGTAGGCCTGCATAGCCTTGCTCTTTGATGGCACTCCAATCTAGATTAGGGAAGGAGATGAAGAATCTAGAATCATTTCAGGAAATACAGAAAACAGTAATAGCTATTGAACATGTTTACTGTGCCTTGAACACTTTGTGTCATTTTAATATTTACAGCTCGGGAAGGACTGTTTTACCTTTTCCAATTTACAGGAGGAAGAAATTGAGGCTCAAAGAGGTTAAACGATTTGTCCAAGCTCTTGCAACAAGTCAGTGGCAGAGCTGGAATCTGACCCAAAGTCCATGTTTTCAGTTGCTGTGCAGCACTGGGTCTACAGCAATATTTGCCCCAGTCCACTTCCTATCATGTTCGCCTTGGAGACGCAAAGGTTGAGAGTTCAGTGAATTTCTCTTAGGTACTCCTCTCTTCCCATTTGATCCCTTCTTGGCAGAGCTCTGTTTTATGGATCAGGTGAGTGGTCAGGACTAGAAAAGCCATGACAATGACCAGGCCTACCTTGAAACAGGGCCACCTGCTCTACCCAGTTTATGCCACACAGTTTCTCCATGCTGTGGATTTACTACTATCTTACATGAATGTTGTACATACTGATATAAAAATGTGTAGGATGGGGCATAAAGTGTTTACTCTTCCCCTAGTTTGTTTTTTCTTTAAGTTATTATTTAACAGGCTTCTATTTTGTGAGAGTTCTTTGAATGTATTTCAATTTAATTCTATTTTCATCATAAAACTAAGTGCTCTCTCAAATTAGAATTGACCATAAGGTACCAGTGAAAGACTATTTTTTAAAAAATGCAACACCCTTGATTTTAAGGTCTTCTTAAAGATTGTCACGTTTTCCCAATGGTATAAATGATACAAAGGGCAAAGAAAGACTGTATGTAAGTGGCCTTCCATCAGAGACTAGCGTCAGCCCCTGAAAGCCTCACTGGAGTGTGTACATGCATGTGTGAGTCTGTGTGGGGGATACGAAGCAGGTCAGCTCATATGTACCAGGTGTCTTTTTAAACTCACTGCTTTAGATGTATACATAACAGGGATTTTCATAATTATATTACCTATAGTTCACTTTTGCAAGTGCATATAGCTTCTTCCCACTGCTTTAGTACCATGGTAAAAAGACTGATTTGTGGTGTAGTATAACTGAAAGATGAAAGTGTTTCACCTTATAAAACCGTGTTTTTTTAAAGCTCACTATGATATGCTCTGATGAGAAAAGCTGACACGTGGTTTTGTTGCCTAGCAACCACTACGCTATGATGTAAGCATGAGCCTGCGTCTATGTCTAGGAACAGTTCAGCAAGAACATGTTTTCCCTGTTTAAATTATTACACATCAACAGGGACAAGGGCTTAAATTTAAGCCTCAAGTCACTAGATTCAAGCATTAGTTCTCTAACATATTTAGCACTGAAGTCCTGCCACACAAGTACCCACTCAGTGCTGAATACACTGAATTCTCAGAAGACTATTTTGAAACAGCAAAAATGTTGGTTTGATTTTTTGAGATAAGGCCTACTGATATCTAGCAATCTGATCTCTACAATCAATGAACTTGCTAGCTCTCGAAGGGCTTGAATCACAGCCTTGTGGGTACTCCCAGCCTTTCTTTTTAGAGGCGTCAAAAGTTTCCCCAGGAGTTTCTGCCCTACTTTAATTTTCCCTCACCTAAGGAATAAGCAGATATATGGGAATTTCCTACTTTTAACAATTTAGATTACCATAATTTTCAAATCAATTTTTCTGTAACTCAGAAGTTTTTTTGTTATCAGAAGCTACCTATTTTCTTTCATCTAATCTAAATAGTCTGCTTAGCATTTTCTAATCTGCTTCTAAGAACCAAGGAGGAAGTAGACTCTCCAACCTTCCACTGCCTTTGTTGACTCTGGAAAATCAAGTTGTTTTTGCTCTTGAAAATTGTAGTTAGATGTTTTCAAGCCAGTGAAATACAGGAGAAATACGCAAGGACAACATGGGGTCATTTAAAAGTCTTTTGGCTATCAGGTCCAGCCCCAGGGAATGAATTCTGTCATTTCTAAATACATAGATGGGGTCAAACGATCTTCACATTTTTTCTGTGCTCTCCCCACCCTTGTAATTAATTACATGGTAGATTTTCACAGTATTAGTTTCTAAAAATAAAAATCGTCTTATGTGCCAACTGAAGAAAAGGGACAATTATTGGTTATCTTTGCTGCTGCCGCTGGTTATGTGATTCTACAGTGACGATGCTGCAAAGCTTCTGGCCATGCGGCACTTTTCAGTCTCATCATAATCATCAGCAAGTAAATTATCTTGAGAACTGACATAATTTATGTCTCAGGGTTCTCTGCCTCTTGTTATATATTCAGTGACATTTTTTCCCTCATCTTATCATAGCCTACATCTTGAATTTTAATTTTGGAATAGGTACAGTAAAGTACTTGGTGTTTAATACTGCACTAGTTAATAAAATAGGTGGACTTCACAAATTCTAGAGTGTAGTCTGGTCATAAAACTTCCTAAAGTTAATAAGAAACAGGCAGTTAAGACCAACCATTGCATTTGTGATGCTTATCTTAAAAGTTCTGTTTATTACTTCAGTGTTCATCTTTATGAGATTAATTAGTCTGAAGTAACAAAAATCAAAAATAAAAAGTGTTAAGTCTCTGGCCCTCAAATTTTAACCTGTATATACAAGCATATGCACATGGCATATATAAAATCTAAGAATTTGGTGAACATTTTAAGCCAACATATATTATCTCACAGAATTTAACAGGACTTTTGAACACTGTTTTCCAAAATGAATGCTTGACTGACAGTGAAAGTCAGTCAATTATAATCTAATCTAATTAATTTAATTTGGTATTTCTTCTTTGAAATGTATATATGCTGGAATCAGGGGCCTGAACATACATGCATAGTAAACTCAAGAGGTCAGCAGTACTTTAACCTCAAGAGTGAAAATTAAGTGTGGATTATCCTTAAATTATATTCACCTGTAAGTTATATGCAATAATAAAAAGATCAGCATTATAAAATACAGAAACAAAATGAGGATGTGCACCTCCAGCATCATGGGCCCCAGCGCATCCTTGTCGATGACACCCTGCCCTGTAGATGACACATCTGACTTCTGCACTTCGTCTATGTTCGCGGCTGCTGCTTTCTCTGCAACAAACACAAGTGTGAGATGACAACACTCTCTCAAGGACAGAGTGACACAGAAAACATTTTTATTGTAATGATTTAAAAAATCTCTAGTGGGATCTGCTGTGGCTATAAAAGAGTTAAGAGTACATTCCCACTGCCATCGAATAGAAGAAACTGCTGATAGCAGGAGCCAGAGCATTAACTTTGCACCTCCAGAACCTGTGGCTCAGACCCCCTTTACAGGCAGCTAATAAAATGAGTTTAGTGTTTTCATGCTAGTCCCTGACAAGCATTTTTCCCAGATTGCAAAACTGCTATATACTATGGCACAATTTGTCTCTACTCAAGAGACTCCCCTAACTAGGATAACGAAGGATCTGTTGTTCAGAACTCAGTGGCATAATCTGAGACACATTTGCACATATTTGAAGAAGGAATAAAAAAGGAGTCCTCATCTGCTGTGGCTGCTACCATGTGACTCTGTGACGACTCCCTTGACTCTTGTACTGTTCCATTTCTTATCACATTCACATTTAAAGTCACTAGAAAGATTTGGTTCTTGACTTAATTAAAGGTGCTTAACGATTTAGGGCAGAGGCACCCTATCGAGTACCCAGAGAATTTCAGCGGTTGTTCTTTTATCCAGCACAGGGGTGCACAAGATGTGTGGGGCAGCTTTCAGGCCCACAAGGTCCGGGAAAACGGTCCGTTGTGGACAACTCTCAGAGAAGTAATAGATGCACTGTTATCAGTATATATGTAACTAGTTATTTCAAGAACACCAAAAAGTTTAAAGTGTCATAGATACGTATCATCAACTTGCTAGAAAATAACACAGAAACAATGTGCCAATTACTTATACCTGAATAAATTATATCCTTGTTTACACTGCATGTTATCATTGTAATTAAATACAAATATAGAAAATGTACATCATTTTAGTACTCAGAATTAACCTGCTTTCAGGATGTTAGTAAATTTTGCTTCTTCTTTTTAAATAAATTTTACATAGTATTGTGAATATCCAGAAAGCTTAACTTGTACCTGAGAAACAACTGGGAATTATGCAGGCCCTCCACCTCTTCCACTTCCATGATGAGTGCATCCACATTGTACATTTATCAGTGCAAAGGGGAAGATGTGACCTGTGTGCTTCAAGTCTAAGCTCAGCCACTTAATAGAAGTATGAGTCAGAGCAAGTCACTTCAACCTTTTAAATCCTTCGTACCTGTCATCTGTACATCATGGACTGTGACAATAGTAAATGGGGTTGATGTAAAACACATTCTAAAAACTAGAGCTTACAAATACCACTTACTACTAGCATATTTATTTGTCTTTGTTCTTCCTGAGTTCCAAATATAGTAATTTCTTTGCAGAGCTTATGGTCAGCAGATTGTACCTGCTTTTTCAACTACTTTACAGTCCTGATTCATCTCAGATCTAAGTAATTGTGATCACTATTAGGGGAAACACGACTTGTCCAGTAACCTTTATGATTCAATATTGGGAGACGTTGTCAGTCCTCACTTCATTTCTTTTCCTTGCTGTCTTCCCTACTCTTGACTGTTAGCTTCCTTTATGCCTGTCCTCTTTGCCGGCTTGGTCTCTGCCCAGTTCCTCAGCCTCAACCAAGGCAGGAAGTATCTCAGGCTCTCCAGACAATTACTGCATATGACCCCCCAGCCCCACCCATACCCCACTTTCCTAGAATATTTTTCATTGCCAAATGTATTTCCAATAAATGCATACTGGGGCACACTATTTTTTTTTCTTTGCCAGTTCATTCTGTTACAGCTGTAGATTTCTCTTCAGTTTCTGCTCACTTTCTTACCCACTGGTCTAGGGATAGGACTGGCACTATTAATAGCTGCTTCATCTAAACTAACAGCCCTGCTCTGCCAAGGTCCGAGCAGGCTTCAGGCTCAAGGACCCTGAGTTTCATTAATACTCAGTCTTAAAACTCATATAATCATTATTATGTATTTATGTGGCCCTGCTGCATTCTCATTTGTTTTTTTGTCTTCGGTACTGTGGCAGTCAGTGGGTAGGAGCAATGTACTCACACATGTACAAAGTGATCGGCAGCCCTTCTCCCGCCTCCTGATATTCAGAGAACCATGCTCCCATCGGCAGGGTCTTTCAGCAGCAGCAGTGATTCTCAAATTGGAATAGTATGCTTGAAAAGACCTCCCCCAGAGAGGGTCTATCAGAATTTGCAGACTGAGAAGAATTTTGCATGAAATTCTGATCCATCTAGGAAGGTACCCTCTGCTTCCCACTTTCTGAGGTGAAAGAGTATATTCCATGAATAGTACGTTCTCCCCACCAGACGGTAAGTTTCATGAAGGGGGGACTGTATTTTTATCTTCTTCAATGGCTAGTACTGTCCCTATGTCAGAGGAGGATCATTTAATATAATAGCTGGTGGCTGACCGAAAGGCTAGCCCTCCTGCTGGTACTTCTTCCCAGAAGTTTAAGAGGGAAGTGGAGTGGAAAAAGGATGGTGGGGGGACAAGAAACTGATTATCCCTTTCAGATCCACAGGCCCTCCAGGGATGAATAGGCAGAAATATGGGGGAAGGGCTTCCTGAGAAGAACCAGTCTGATATAACCAGTCATCTTGTCTTGCCTTAGTAAGTTTCAAGGCATCTTATGTTCTCACAGTGTCCCCAAGTCTCCTATCCTCCCACTGGTAAAACTGGTGATTTCATTCTTTTTAAAGAATGGATTTAATTCAGGTTAATCTTGGGGGAGAGCTAGATATGAAGCAATAGCTGCTTATCACAAAGGCAACTCTGTACCTATCACTGACTACCAGAAAACATCAGGCTATTTGTTATATGAGATTCTGATATCACAGTAGTAATAAATTAGTGTTTTCTGTGGTATCTATAATAATGGCTGCAATTCAAGGCAACATGAATATAAAATAACAATGTTTATGATGATCCATTCCCTAGTCTTTTAAAGACAACCAGTATGCCTTCTGAGATGTTTACATTTGGAGGATCTGATCATCCTTCTGAAGACCCCAAATTCCCTCAATTCATCAGTTAATATTTTGGGGAATTTTAAAAACTCAAACTTAGAAAACCCAATCATGCAGGTACCTAAAAGACTGATAAACTTTCAATGCCAGGGTATTCTAAATATTCTAGCAATATATGCTCTGGCACTGAATTTTAGACTTACCAGGAAATATGTAGAATGCGAGTCCTATCTGCAGAGCATTTTCTTTTATTTTTAGGATCCTACAGATCAGACATAGGGTAAGGGTCTAAAATTTAAAGTAGGTGCTGATTTAGATCTGACAAAACATATTTGGGCTCTGCTGGAAAGCCTGGGTAAAACTAATTATTGTCCTGAAATATTATTTGTAATAATAAATGTCACTTATTTTCCCCTTTAGAATATTCAACTGATAAATCTTCAAAAGGAGAAATGAAGCAGGTAACAATAAGTCCCCGAGGATGAATGGCCCCATGAGCAAACTGGCCAGCCACCACAGCCCCAGGGCAGTGGTCTCCAACCACGTGTCTCCGGGTGTGGCTCTGCGCCTCCCTCCCTAAGCCTGTGATACCAGTAGAGCGAAGAATTCTACCCAGCCGAGAGATCACATTTAGCTGGAAGGGCAAAATGACTACAACTGAACCAAACAAGAACAACTTCGGGCTAAACTGCAAACAAATTTCACGTTCAAAGGGGAGATAAATATGGGCGGACATGGCTCAGAATATGTCGCATACGTTCTCACTGGCTGGATTCTGCAGGATATGCGAGTGGATGGCAAACGCCAACGGCCTAACAGCCTAACAGGAAAGCGGTAGGGGTGGATGTGTGGTATCGAGTGTTGAGGAAACTGTAGCCAAGCCTTTGAAAACCAATGTTAAGGAACATTAGCAAGAAGTTTGTCTATGCTGGAATTCTAGGAATCCCTGAATTGAAAACAACACACATTTTTACAATATCAATTTAAAATTATATTAGTAGAACACGTGCTTTGAAAGAAAACTTTAAATGAGTGTTAATTATTTGGATAGAACTTTTGAAATACTCCAATATTTACACAATACTATTCGTATATAGTATATAGTAAGAGAATGGGAAATTTTCACTACTCATAGAGTAAATAAATAAGAAGGTAAAGAATTTAGGGCTTTTCACTACTATCCCTACGAACTTTTTACATATATGCATTTTTCAGCTTGTCATCTATTATTCAATTCTGTACTGAATTTGTGCTTTGACCCTTTCTCAATATTAATGAGAAAAAAAATCAACACTATCAAGTGATAGAAAATACCAGAAATATGGCTTTACCAATATGATCGGAATCTAAATTAAACTGGTCCTGAGTTTATGTTACTCGGGTACTTTACATGAAGTAATTACTACCTCTGTTCAATGTTCAGTTGAGCCTTGAAATTAAACAGAAGGAGGAAAAGGACTCCTTTGAGATATGCTATTATGTTAACTGGACATACACTGGTATCTTGATAAAATGCTTCAGTAATGAGTATGCTATATTTATGAGTCAGATATAAATATGCTTAAATCCTCAGCTATATTTATACTTCTGTAAGTGCAGCATTACTACACTGAAATACACTAATATTTTTAAATTAGGCAGTTTTCTTCAGCGGTCACAAATTATATTTAATTTTCTATATTTTGCATCCATTAACCATGAAAATACATTAGGTTACAAAAATATTCCTCAGTAAACTCAACAGTAGAATGATTGCCCCAGAGTTTCATATGATCAAAACCTATGAAATCTCATCATTACAGATGGAATACTTAAATCAGAGAAGAGATGATGAAATTTAATTTTCAGGATCTACAAAAAGGTTTCTCCTTCATGCCTTGACTTCCATTTCTTCCTGCTGCACTTTAACCATTAAAGTTATTCCTTTTGGATAAAGAATATGACCTAAGAGAGAATAACAGTGAAAATAATAATTGTCCTTTTCTTCCTCACTCTCAAAAAGATAAAAATATAAGATAGCTATGAT